CTGGGTGAGTGTATGGAAGGAGAGAAATTGTCTTCATAAAGTTCTGAGGACCAGGGCAGAGGAGAGGGATCAGCAAAGAGGTGTTTAGAAAAGAAGTCATAGAGGACCTTGTATGTGGGTAGGAAGAAATGATCGGCTGTTAATTACTGTTGAGAGGTCAAGTGTTACAGTGCCAGGAGAATGTCCTTGGAAACCAGCAACTAGAGTGTTATTGGCAAGAGCAGTGTCAGTGTTATGGTGGGACAGATGCCTGAATGCTGTAAGTTAAGGAGAGATCTAAGTATAAAACAGTATATGCAGTCCTTTCTGTTTACTAATTTATTGTCAAGTGAAAATGACAGGTTGCTAGGGTTTTGCATATATGTGTTTGGCTTGGCGATTGAACCCAGGGCCTTTGGCATGCAAGGTAAGCACTCTACCACTTAGCTACATCCCCAGCTCAAGAATGAATTTCTGTTTAAAAATTGCCTGGCAGATTGCCCAGGTACTCAGGAATGAGTAAATTAAGACTGAAGATCCATGTGGTATCAGTGTCATCAGGGCAGCCATTGCTGTAGAAACAAAAATTGTGTTAAAATACCATTAGCACCAGTGTTGGTGATCATTGTGTGGTGGGAAATCTTAATTCCTTCCTGTTTTTGAGTTTTTGCAAAGACTATACTTTGTGATTTAGATTTTTTTTTTTTTTTTTTTTTTTTGTGGTATTGGAGAATGAAGTCTACCACTGAGTTACATCACCAGCCCTCTTTAGTTTGAGACAGGGTCTCAATAAGTTGCTAAGGCTGGCCTTGAACTTACAATCTAGCTCAATTAGCATCTTTTAATTTAAAAAATTCTAAATCACTCCAGGTGCAGTGGTACATGCCTATAATCTCAGGGAGGATAAGGCAGGAACCTCGTGAGACCCTGTCTTCAAAAAATAAAAAGGAATTGTAATGAAAATAAATAAATAAATAAAATCATAAAAAAATAAAATGAAAAGGGATGGAGATTTGGCTTTGTTATAGAGTGCCCTTGGGTTTAATCCCCAGTATCACAAAGAGGAAAAAGAAAAGCTAATTGAAGAAAGTTGTGGAGTTTTTATTTCATGTCTTAAATCACCTGAGAGAGACTTGAGCATATTAAAATGCTGAGAAAGAGCCAGGTGGCACAGAAACAACACAGGTACGTGAAGTGAAGAGAGGACAGTTGATGGGGTTGGGGTGCAGAAAAGGAAGGCGGAGGTGGATGGGACTCTAGTGGAGAGATGCACTGTGAACCAGCAGAGAGTTGCAGGTAAAGGTAGGAAGGAGCTGAGACAGGCTCTTAGAGGGAGGGAAGAAAGGAGGTGGGTGGAAAGTGACAGAGGAGCATGCTATGGATTCAGAACCTGTCTGTGGGGGAGCCTTGACCTGTTGGGGTGCCTGCTAGCCTTAGTCTGAAGGAGTGGGGGCTTTTTGAGCATGACTAGATGGTAATGGTTGGGAATTTAGGAGGATAGCCAGTTAGGTGGGTGGCCCAGGGTTGTGTGGCGTGGCAGTTCCCCTATGAAGGCTGCATTTCCCTTGGGAAGGGTGGGTATTTGTTGTGGGAATGGTAGTCTGTAGGGTACAGTAGAGAAGTCTGCAGGGGGCGTGGGCCATGAAGAGAAATTGGCTACATTTATATGAGATTATAGAAAGACTAGTTGTGTGGAGAAGCTTATAGATACCAACGACCAGGAAGGTGAGGCATGGTGGCAACCACAAGGTGGCCATGATAATCAGTCTCCACTTGTATGAGGTTTCTCTTGCCATGCAGTTTGCGCCTGCATTGATTGCAGATCTGAATCCTCTCTGATGACAGCATGGACTTATGGGGAGCCACCTGTGGGTCATTATGCTGATAGTGGAGGTGGTAGTGGCTTTATTGTCAATGTGCTGCCCTGATGCCCATGTTTACTACTCCCGGTGTCTTCAGCCTCAATCTTCTTGTACTTTAATGCTAGTATAGTCTGCTAGTAGATCGGTCTTATGTTTCTTAAAGCCGTCCTCTGTTTTGCTGCTAAATTTTATTAAAATCCCGTCTTTGTCACATTCAGCCTATAGTAACTCATTGTATAACTGACCACATCAGACCAAGTATTAGTCTCTATGGTCTGGCTCTACTTCAGTTCCTACTTCCCAGCGTTCATTATAGATTTTTTTTGGCTTTGTGCCGGGTTCCTTACTGTGCTCCCAAGCAGATATCATGGTCATATTTATTTTATCCTTTCTCTTTTGTGTTTCCCATCACTTTGTCTCTGTCCAAAATTTACTCCCCCCCCCCCCCCCCCCCAAGACTCAGCTCACCTCTTACCTTCCTAGTCTAGTTTCTATTTCGGCTAGTGCTGCTAGCCTATACCTTTTTCCTTTTCTAACCTATTATATTTGTTGTCTTGTAGAAATGTTTGCTTGCTTACCAACTGTGACTTGGGTGTGTAAATGATAAGCCTACATGACTGACAATCCTCTCCTTCCCAGGGAAAGATATCTGATACTTAAATCTCCACCAGACCACCTATGGAAGCTTGAGGCCTGCTATCCTTCTCTTGGACTCTGGGGCTCGTCTCTTCTTTCCTTCTGAAGGATTCCATTCTTTGATATTGGCCCCTTTCCCTTCTGCTGGGCCATTCCTACCAGAAGAAAACATTCTTTTAATATCTCCCATCTTTTAAAAAGCAAACAACTTTGCTTTACCCCACATTTTTCTCTGCTGTCTCATTTTTCTACTCCCTTTCAGAGTAAAATGTAATGGAGTTGTCTACTCCCTTGTCTTGTCTACTCTTCAATTTGCTCTATTTTGTTTTATCCCTAATACTTGAAGATGTTTCCTTTTTGAGGATATCAAAGCCTTTATGTTTTCGCATCCCTTTGGACACGTGGTTGTCTTGCCAGATTGTTCAACACCATCTGCAGTTAACACCACCTCACCTCCCCTTTTTTTTGTGGCATTGGGGATCAAACCCAGGGCCTCATGCATGCCAGGCAAGTGCTGTACCACTGAGCTATATCCCCAGCCTCTGCAGTTAACCTCTTCTTGAAACACTTTCTTCTCTTGGCATCTGTGACATGCCTCTGCCTGGCTTTTCTCTGTGCACTGACTACTCTTTCTCCATCTCTGTAGCCAGTTCTCTTTTTATCTGGATGCTCTCTTTAAGTCCACCACAGTATTCTGTTCTTATCGCTTGTCCTTCCCTTCTTGTTCCAGTCTGTAAATACTGGGGAACCTCGGGTGCTCTTCTCCTTCCTCTCTAAATGACAGGGTTTTAAGCATTGTATTTAAGGGTAAGGACACCCCTAACTCTTTACCATGTTGCCATCTTATATATCCAGCTGTTGCTTGGCATTTCTAAGTGAGTAACATTTAGTTGTCCATTCCTCTATGCCTACCCTTTCGCTCATTGTCTTTCCTCACTTCTTTCCTTCCTTCCTTCCTCATTCCTAGTCTTTCACACTAACTGGCACTAGTTGATTATCCCAGAATCTTAGCTATCATCCCTTTTTACTCCTTTTTCCAACTTTGATATTCACTTCGTTAGCACATAAGTTCTCTCATTTCAGAAACTTTCTCTGACTGCCACTATGTAGTGTAAGCCATGCTACCTACCCTTCTTTGGACTACTGCAGTAGCTTCCTAATTCTCTACTTTTCTCATTCTACCATCCACCCTACCATGGAGCCAGACTGACCTGTGAAAAATGTAGCAGGTTATTCCACTCCCCTCGTTCAGTGAGTTTTCTTTACACTTAGAATAAAATTCTATCTCCTCATGATGGTTGTTTCTGCCTTTATCTCCAGATTTATCTGGATTGTTTTCCTTTTAACATGCTGCAGACATGCTGACTTCTGTTATTGGTCTCATCCAAGTCTGTCTTACCTCAGGACCTTTTTTTAAATTATTTTTATTTTTTTATTTGCATACTTTTTTTTTTTAGAGAGAGAGAAAATTTTTTAAATATTTATTTATTTTTTTAGTTTTTGGCAGACACAACATCTTTGTTTGTATGTGGTGCTGAGGATCGAACCCGGGCCACATGCATGCCAGGCAAGCGTGCTACCGCTTGAGCCACATCCCCAGCCCCATTTGCATACTTTTTTATTGGTTCTTTTTAGTTATACATGACGGTAGAGTCCATTTTGATAAAATTATACAAGCATGGAGTGTATTTTATTCTAATTAGGAATATTATTTACATTTCTTAAACTGATATTCATGATAATATATACAAAACAGCAGCAATAAATTTCTTTTTCCCCAATTACTTCATTTTTTAAATATATGACAGCAGAATGCATTACAATTCTTATTACACATATAGAGCACAATTTTTCATATCTCTGGTTGTATACAAAATATATTCATACCAATTTGTGTCTTTATACATGTACTTTGGATAATAATGATCTTCACATTCTACCATCATTTATAACTCCATACCCCCTCCCTTCCCCACCTCAGGACCTTTATACATGCTTGTTTTTCTGTGTAAACACTCATATGGTTGGTTCCTTCTCATCTGTCAGGTCTCTTTTCAAATGTCACTTCTTTGAAGACCTTTTCTAACCATCCTACTTTAAATATGCCCCTAGTTATTACTCTATTACATTAACGTTTTTTACTTTTTTTTGTATATTGGTTGCCTCTCACTAATTCACACAAACTCTCAAATATAACTTTTTTAAAAAATATATTTTTAATTGTAGATGGACACAATACCTTTATTTTTATGTGGTGCTGAGGATTGAACCCAGTGCCTCACACTTGCTAGGCAAGCTCTCTACCACTGAGCCACAGCCCTAGCCCCTCAAATGTAACTTTTATAAAGGCAGAGGCTTCCTTATTCTTGTTCACTTCTATATCTATACTTAGCAAAGTGTCTGAAACTCAGGTCCTCAAATATGTCAAATGAATTATTACTATTCTTTGTTAAATAATTTTCTCATTTGTTCTATGCATTGAGTTAAATGTAATGAAATATGCTTGCTTTTCTCTCTGTCTAGTTTGAATTCCTGGGATTGCCTTAGCTAGCAAGAACATAGTTCCTGGTTGGTGACAGACATAATGTTTTACCGGTTGTTATCAATTGCCCGAAGACGAAGAACCAGCCCAGGATGGCAGAACTGGTCCTTGGCGAGAAGCAACACATCAACTGCTGAGGCACATTCTATCACCCTGCCTGCCCAGGCCCAGGTTGTCATCTGTGGGGGTGGAATCATGGGCACATCTGTGGCCTATCACCTCTCCAAGATGGGGTGGACAGATATTGTCCTTTTGGAGCAGGGCAGGTAAGGATCAAATGGGACTCAGCTTGTGGCTGTGCTGTACTAATGGTAAGGGACTCCCTCATTCCCTTTCTTCTCCACAATAATGTCCCACCAATAGTTAACCCAAACATTGCTCAGTGTCATGAGAAGAACTGAGGTGAAATCTTCTGCACTTTGTTTAGTGATACTAATGTTTGGGTTTTTAGAAAGGTAGTAGATTTCAACAAAACAAGTATCTTAAAAGGATTTATATAGAGATTACACGTGCATACCTGTAATCTCAGTTACTTGGTAGTATGAGACAGAAGGATTGCAAGTTGGAGTTCTGAGATACTGTCTCAGAAACAAATAACAAAAAGGGCTGGGGATGTAGTCAGTGGTAGAGCACCCTGGGCTTAGTCCCTAGTACTGAAAAAAAAAAAAAAAAAAAAAAGGATGTATGTGTTTACAACACATTTTATCTCATTCTCTTTGTTGTCACCCAGTAGTTTAAGTCCTGTGACTTTGAACTGAGATAAAAGTGATTGCATTCTGCCTATATCTCCATTATTGATTTTCTTTTATTTATTTATTTATTTATATCATGCAAGGCAGATGCTTTGCCACTGAGCTACATCCCAGCCCTTATTTTTTGAAAATATATATATTTTTAATTACAGATGGACATGGGCTGGGGTTGTGGCTCAGCAGTAGAGCACTCGCCTCGCACGTGTGAGGCCCTGGGTTTGATCCTCAGCACCACATAAAAATAAATACATAAATAAAATAAAGGTATTGTATTCAACTACAACTGGAAAATAAATATTTAGAAAAATCATAGATGGACACAATACCCTTATTTATTTATTTTTATGTGGTGCTAAGGATTGAACCCAGTGCTTTACACATGCTAGGCAAATGCTCTACCACTGAGCCCCAGTCCTAATTAGCTTACTTTTGAACAGCTTTAGATGTACAGAAAAACTGACGGTTATTAGAAAATTCCCATATACCCTGTGCACTTTCTTTAATTATTTTTAATTTTTTTAAAAAAATATTTAATTTATAGTTGGACACAATACCTTTATTTCACTCATTTATTTTTTACATGGTGCTGAGGATCGAACCCAGGTCCCATGCGTGTGAGACGAGCACTCTACTGCTGAGCCATAACCCCAGCCCTTAATTTTTAAATTTATTTATTATTTTTAATTATTTAGTTGTCAATGGACTTTTAATTGATGTATTTATGTGTGGTGCTGAGAGTTGAACTCAGTCTCATACATGCTAGGCAAACCCTCTACCACTGAGCTATAACCCCATCCTCCCTACATCCATTCTCACCTAACATCTTACGTTATTACAATTACCAAATCAGAACTCATGCATTAGTATTAACAAAAGCTCATTCTTTATTTATTTTTGTTCACTTTTCTCCTAATATCCTTTTTCTATTCTAGGATCCCACCCAGGATCCATTTCTCCCAGTCATCATGTCTTCTCAGACTCCTAAGAGCTGTGACAGTTTCTTGGACTTTCCTTGTTTTTGGTGACCTTGACAGTTTTGAGTTTTCTGTAACATTTTAGACTTCAACAAAAATTTGTGCTTGTAAAATAGTGTAAATTACATTAGGTAAACAGTTATCTTTTAGCTAGATTTTTATTGCTTTCTTCCCCCAAAATAAATATGCTTTCTTTATGGGCTTTGCCTCTTTTTCAGTTTTTGCCTTCCTTTAGATGAATCACATATTTTTAGTATTCTATTTTATCTCTGTGGACTTTTTTTTTTTCAATAGTTTTTTAGTTGTCAATGGACCTTTACTTTATTTTTTTGTGGTGCCGAGAATTGAAGCCAGTGCCTCATACATACCTGTTAAGTGCTTTACCACTGAGCCACACCCCCAGCCCCTATCTTTGTGGACTTTTAAGCTACTCTGTATCATCATCATCATCATCATCATCATTGTTATTGTTATTGACAGGTATCACTATATTGACCAGGCTGCTATTGAACTTGTAACCCTCCTGCCTTTGTATTATTTTTTAATGATTATAGAGATCAGAATATGTATTCTTTTTTCCTCCTTTTGTGGTGTTGGTGATTTAACACAGGGCCTTCTGCATGGTAGGCAAGTGCTGTACCACTGATCTACACCCACAGCCCCATGTATTCTGTTTTTTGTTTTGTTTTGTTTTTAGTAGCATTTTAAAAAAATATTTATTTTTTAGGTGTAGATGGACACAACACAATGCCTTTATTTTTATGTGGTGCTGAGGATCGAACCCGGGTCCCGCCCGTGTAAGGCAAGCGCTTTACCGCTGACCCACAGTCCCAGCTCTAGTAGCATTTTTTAATCATAAAATTCTTAGTTTCAACAGAGAAACATTACAGCCCTATGTATTCTTAATTTATTTGTCCATTATGAAGTACTACTATACCACTACTTGAGTATTGTTGGACATAACAGTATAATTGTTTACCTCCTTTTGCCCTTTGTGTTATTGTATATTTTAATTCTATATATTTTATAAATTCTGTAATAATTGGCATATTTGCATTAAATAATAATATTTTCTAGCAAATTTATTTTGAAATGACTTAATTCACTAAAAAGCTTCAGGAACAGTACAGAGAATATCCATATCTTTTTTACCAAAGTTCCCCCATTGTCAACATTCTAATGTACCTGTTGTATCACCTGTTCTGTTCTTTGTAGATGGGTATACACATAGCCATGAGAGAGAGAGAGAGAGAGTGTGTGTATATATTCCCTTTTTTATAACTATCTCAGCATAAGTTGCAGACCTGATAACCCAGCACCTCTAAGCATTTCAGGGTGTTTTTTTCCTCAAAAAACAAGTACAACCTCCTACATACCTGAATATCAGGAAAATATGAATACAACACTACTATCAGATTCATCAGCCTCACTCAGATTTTGCAAACCATTCCAATAAGGTCTCTCTGTCCTTTCTGGTCCAGTATTTTCTCCAGGAACTTGTGTTCAGTTGTCATGTCTCTTCTGCTGGCACAGTTCTTCAGCCCTTCCCTGTTCCCGTGTCCTTGACAGTTTTAAGGAGTACAGGCCTTTCTCTCTGTGGGATAATTCTCAGTTTGGGTTCAACTAATGTTTTCTTGTGATCAAACTCGGGTCACACAGTTTTTCAAGAACAATGTATTGCATTCCGTACCAGTCATCCTTGTCAAGTGCATAGGTCATTGGCTGTTAGTCTGTTAACAGAGTTGTACATCTGTCACCACAATGAGACCAAAAATTTTAGGTGGGAAGACCACAGAAATGGTGCTAGGCTTTTTGCAGTGTACCACACCAGGAGGTGCATGGCTGGCATGTACTACTGGTGGGAATAATCCTGATCACCCAGTTTTGTTAGTGTCCTCTGAGTATCTCTGTCGGAGCCACTTTTTTTTTTTTTTTTTTTTTTTTTTTTTGGAGTTGGAGATTGAATCAGACTAGGCAAGCACTCTTACCATGGAGCTACCTCCCCACCTCCCCCACCTTCCAGTTTTTCAGATAATCTCACAAAATTGCCTAGGCTAGCTTTGAACTTTGAATAGCTGGGATTACAAATGTGCCCTGCCCCTTCTGCCCTCTTATAATGGGCTAGCAACCTTTGGGGAGATGGATTCTGAGATTTTGCCAATATCTTAATGTCATACCTCCACTTACCAGGCTTAACTTCCATTGGCAGTTGACTGCACCCACCACCATGATGCTTGCCAAATGGTGAGGTTTCTTTCCTCATCCTTCTTCTTTTAGTTGGCATTCTACTGTCGGAAAGTTTTTCCTCTACCTTGTTTACTTATTTGCTTAAATGCACACACATATCAGTTTAGAGTGCTTGCCTAGCACATGTGAGGTGCTGGATTTGATCCTTAGCACCACATAAAAAATATCTTTTTAAAAAAACCCTTTTCATTCTTTTTGTAGTTGTAGATGGACACAATGCCTTTATTTTTATTTATTTATATGTGGTGCTAAGGATCGAACCCAGGGACTCTCACATGCTAGGCATTCTCTCTACTGCTGAACCACAGTCCCAGTCCACTCTCTTTTTTAATTGTATATATTTTTGTTGTTGATGGCTCTTTATTTTATTCACTTGTTTATATGTGGTGCTGAGAAAAAAAAACATGCTAGGCAAGTGCTGTGCTGAGCCACAACCCCACTGAGCCACCAGCCTATCCCTTATTCTTAAAATTATATTTCTGACATTCTCCCTAAGGCGAGAGCGATTATCAGGGGTACTCAAGGAGTTCTATCTTGGGAGAGATGGAACTCCCACCCCAGATAGATTTGGTGATCTCCAAAATTTTAAACCGTATTTGCATTTTTTGATATTACAAACAATATTATAATGAGGGTTCTCGAACATACTCCGATACGTGAGTCTGCCTAATAGCATTTTGCATCCGTCTTGCAGGTTGGCTGCTGGCTCCACCAGGTTCTGTGCTGGCATCCTGAGCACTGCCAGGCAGTTGACCATTGAACAGAAGATGGCAGACTATTCAAACAGACTCTACCATCAGTTAGAGCAAGAAACAGGGATTCAAACAGGTAAGCAGGTAATTTGCCATTTACTGGTCTGTCTCTAGACTAAAAGTCTTTACTGTATCTGATCCTATACCAGGTTTGCTTGGTGATTTGGTAATTAAGACTAGGGTTTTAGTCCACAGTCTGCCACCAGCTGGAATGTTACCATGGGCAAGTCACATAACTTGTTGAGCTGCTAGATTACAAGTGTGTGCCTCCACGCCTGGCTTTAAACTGAAATTTAAAAAAACAAAAAAAAAATTTTTTAAGCTGTAGGAGGGACACAACACCTTTATTTTATTTATTTATGTTTTATGTGGTGCTGAGAATCGAACCCAGTGCTTTACATGTGCTAGGTGAGCACAATAACACTGAGCCACAACCCCAACCCAAACTGAAAAATTTTTTTATACTTATGTTTTTAGTTGTTGATGGACCTTTATTTTATTTATTTATGCAATGCTGAGAATCAAATCCAGTACCCCACACATGCTGGGCAAGTGCTCTACCACTGAGCCACAACCCCAGCCCTCAAACTGAAATTTAACTGACAAGTTATAGTCTTTATCTGTAAGGGTTGTCCCCCCACACATGGCCTAATATATTGGTTTATGTCTTTAAAATTAACAAGTAAGTGCCCATCAACTTTTCTCAGTCTATTCAAATCCTACTTACTGAAAAATCCGGATGTATCAGTAATTTATGAAGTGTCTATTTCAGACACCATTCACCTTACCTAGACCTCATCTCTCTAAAAACTTTTATATTACATTTTTTAAATATTTTTTTCATTTATAGATGGACACAATACCTTTATTGTATTTGTTTATTTTTATATGGTGTTGAAGATTGAACCCAGTGCCTCACACATGCTAGGCAAGTGCTCTACCACTGAGCCACAACCCCAGCCTCTTATGTGACATTTTGTTAATACATGTATTTAACAATTCATCATGTGCTCTCTGTACCATATTTTTTTAAAAAATATTTTTTTAGTTGTAGATGGACAAAATACCTTTATTTATTTATTTTTATGTGGTACTGAGGATCGAACCCAGTGCCTTACACGTGCAAGGCAAGCACTCTACCACTGAGCCACAACCCCAGTCCCTCTCTGTACTTACTTTATATCTGAAATTGTTTCTCTTATTTCCTCAAATATGGTAACTTTTTTTTATGTACAAGGGATTGAACCCAGGGGCGCTTGACCATTGAGCTACATCCCAAGCCCTTTTTATGATTTTGAGACAGGATCTTGCTGAGTTGCTCAGGGCCTCACTAAGTTTCTGAGTCTGGCTTTGAACTTCAGATCTTTGTACCTCAGCCTCCCAATCCACTGGGATTACAGGTGTGCACCACTGCGCCCAGCCACTTTTTTTTTTTTTAATAATTTTTATTTTATTTTTTAGGTTAGATGGACACAACACAATGCCTTTATTTTTATGTGGTGCTGAGGATCAAAACCAGGTCCTGCCCGTGCTAGGCGAGCGCTCCACTGCTGAGCCACAATCCCAGCCCCCAGCCACTTTTAATAATAGTTAAATAAAAGTACATTTTAGGCTGTTTTCCAGATTAACACATAATCCTATTTCATTTTTTAACTGCAGAGCAGTGTTCCATAGCACCTGCCATTCAAAGCTTGTCATCTATTTATAGGTCCCCCCACATTTTTTTTTTAAATAAATATTTTTTTAGTGTAGTTGGACACAATACCTTTTTATTTTTTTATTTTATTTTTTTAAAATATTTGTTTTTTAGTTTTGGGTGGACACAATATCTATTTTATTTTTATGTGGTGCTGAGGATCAAACCCAGTGCCTCGCGTGTACTAGGCAAGCACTCTAACCCCTCAGCCACAACACCAGCCCCTCCTACCTACTTTTTTGCCACTGTGCATAATGGTTCAGTTAAGATTTTTGTCCAAATACCTTTATTTTCTCCTAATTCTAAAGAATAGATTCCTTCTAGAAAAGACATAAGTTGGACAAAGGATATAGGTACTTTATATTTGGATGGTTATTGCCTAATCATTCTCCTAAAGGGTTATACCCTCACCAACAGTGTATGAGAGTGCTTATTTCTTTTTCTTTCCACACTTTTTATTGGTGCATTATAGTTGTGCATAGTGATGGGAGTTGTTAAATATTTGTATGTGCATATAATGTAACAATATAATTTGGCCAGTTTCACTCCCCAGCATTTCCCACTTCCCACCCTTTGGTCCCTTTCTCTACTGATCTCCCTTTGATTTTTAGAAGAGAGAGTGCTTATTTCTTTACAGTCTTCTCAACATTGGGTATTTATTTTTGCTAATCCTGAGGGGTGGAAAAAAAACTTTCAGGATTCTTATTTACATCTCTTTGAGTTAAAAATCATTTCATAGGTTTACTGACCATTTATAATTCTTCTTTGAATTGCCTTTTAATATTATATGTCTCCTTTGTTTCCTTTTTTTTTTAAGAGAGAGTTTTTTAATATTTATTTTTCAGTTTTTTGTGGACACAACATCTTTATTTTATTTTTATGTGGTGCTGAGGATTGAACCCAGCGCCCCGTGCATGCCAGGCGAGTACATTACCGCTTGAGCCATATCCCCAGCCCTCCTTTGTTTCTTTATTGATCTATAAGAATTCTATTTTATGACTCTTAACATTTTTTAAATATTTATTTTTAGTTATAACATTTTTTTATTTTTATGTGGTGCTGAGGATCAAACTCAGTGTCTCATGCATGGTAGGCAAGTGCTCTACCTCTGAGCCACAACCCCAGCCCGTGACTTTTATTTTATTTTATTTTTTTTAAAAAATTTTATTTTATTTTTAGTTCTCGGCGGACACAACATCTTTGTTGGTGTGTGGTGCTGAGTATCGAACCCGGGCCGCACGCATGCCAGGCGAGCGCGCTACCGCTTGAGCCACATCCCCAGCCCCAGCCCGTGACTTTTAACATCTAACAACACAAATTATATGTCAGAATTCCTTTAGTCAAAATCTTTAAAGTCTTCTGTAGGAAAATAATGAAATTTTAATCTTATTAATGGGTGGAGTAAAATGTAATTTTTGGGAATGTGATTTAACATAGTATAACATGCTTTATTGTGCATATTCAGTAAGTAGTACCTTCCTCTAAATAATCTTTCATAATGATTACAAAATAGTTGCTGACCCCTTCATCTGTCTTAAAGTGAAATCCAGCGTGTGATTAGCCCACAGATCACTGGCCAAGATCACTGCACAAAGCTGGTATATCTACTATTTTTAATCACCAGGCTCTGAAATGTCAGATCCTTTAAACTGGGATCTTCTTGTCATGTCAGTGTAGGGCATATTTATCTGATGATATCAAGAGATTTTGAACTATTTAAATTATCCTGACTATACATTCTATTTAAAAAAATTTTTTTTTGTAGTTAGACAGAATACCTTTATTTTAATTTATTTTTATGTGGTACAGAGAATCGAACCCAGCACCTCACACGTGCTAGGCGAGCATTTTGCCGCTGTGCCACAACCTCAGCCCCCTATACATCCTAATTTTGAAGATACCTGACTGATCATTGTTTCCTTCACAAGAACTGAAAGTGTTTTAGGATTTTCATTGACTCAAGTGTAATAGTAGTAATATATCATGTGTATTGATTCCAAAATGACTGTTAAACTTGAGGAAAAAATGGAGCTTGTTGGAAGGATGTTGGGCACTTGTAGAGTTGGCAGGAGGTTGCCAGCTGGAGGCAACCGGGGGGCCAGGATGTGAGGAATAGGAATGGCTAGGACACTGCTGCCCCTAAAATGAGAGCTCTCCAGTCATTAACCCACTTGCTACAAACTGAGGGTCCAGTTGACTGAGCTTAAGTGACAAGCCCATTGTTTGTTTGTACTAGGGAAGGAGAGGGAGGACCTGCCCTCTGATAGCTAATGTTATGTGTGGCTTTTGCCAAGTATTATACTCTGACCAAGACTAGGAAGAGGAAAGGTGAAATTGCCTAGGAGTGAAAAAAAAAAAAAAGGATGGATTCTAAGTCACATCTTGCCTAAAAAAGATTCTTGAGCCATTATTTTTTTGTACTGGGTATCGAACTTAGGGGCACTTAACCACTGAGCCACATACACAGCCCTTCTTGTATTTTATGTAGAGACAGGGTCTCACTGAGTTGCTTAGGCCTTGCTAAGTTGCTGATACTGTCTTTGAACTCAAGATCTTCCTGCCTTAGCCTCCTGAGCCACTGGGATTACAGGCATGCCCCACCATCCCGGCCTATTATGAGCAATCTTATGTACATCAGGACCTCGTTTGTTTCTCAGAAGATGATGAGCTGAGAATATTTATACATCTGGTGTATTTTAAATTTTCACTAAAAGTTCAAAGGAAGCTAATTGGCTTACCCAGGGATGTTGAGTGACATTGTTAGGATTTGGGACACATCTAACCTATAATGCAGTGAAGCCCTCTTTACATTTGGTCTGGTCTGTCTCAGTTTGACTGATGTTTCCTTACAGGTTACATAAGGACAGGCTCAATCTTTCTGGCTCAAACACAGGACCGGCTCATTTCCTTGAAGCGCATCAACTCAAGTTTGAAGTACGTAAGAGGCTAGAAGCCTGTCCTGACTTTGCCAAACTGACCTCTGCAAAGAGCCCATGAATGTCATTGTCCCCTTGTGTTCATTGGCAGTGTTACAGGCATCCCTTCAGAGATCATCTCCCCAAAGAAAGTGGCTGAACTTTACCCTCTCCTCAATGTGCACGACCTGGTGGGGGCCATGCATGTTCCTGAGGATGCTGTGGTGTCCTCTGCTGATGTGGCTCTTGCCCTGGCAAGTGCTGCCTCCCAAAATGGTGAGCAGGTTTTTGTGTTTTCTTAACATGGGTTTGGGAGAAAGAAGTTACCTGAGAAGTGTCTTATGGTAGGAGGCAATGATTCCAATTCACATTTGGAAAAAGTGTCCTCATTGGGTATTCATCTTCCTGCCTTTGAATAGTGGATCTCAAGAGTTTTAAAAATATAGTAATTTTTTTTTTTTTTTTTTTTTTTTAGTATCCGTTGATAAGTATTTTTTCTCAGGGTCATATCGAGCTCCCACTCACCCACCACCCTTGGTAATGGGGATTAAACCCAGGGCCTTGCACATCCTGGATAAGCATTCTACTACTACTGAACTACTCACCCAGCCTGGGCCACATTTTTCATGTTAAAAATTTCAAGTAACTACTGTTTTGGTTTTTTTTTATTATTATTATTTTTATGAGGTGGTGAGAATTGATCCCAGTACCTCACATATGCCAGGAGAGCACGCTACCACTTGAGCCACATCCCCAGCCCCAAATAACTGCTTTTTATTGCTGATGAGTGCATTTCAGACTTAGGGGAATTCCCCTTCCTCCAGGACTTAAGAAGCTCTAAGGTTAGCCTTGGAAATTGGATGCACAGCTTAAATCATGATCTGGAGTTCAGATGTATGATGGGAAGAGTAGTATCCAGGGTGTTATATACTTTAGGTGAACTGATCATGATGTGGGTAGATTGGGATTTAAGATGCCCTATTTGGGCTGGAGTTGTGGCTCAGTGGTAGAGTGCTCGCCTTGCATGTGTGAGACCCTGGGTTTGATCCTCAGCACCACATAAAAATAAATAAAGATATAAAAAAATCATAACTTAAAAAAAAAAAAAAAGATGCCCTATTTGAACTCTTTCATCCCTGCTCCATATTTTCAACTAATATGTACTAGACTCTGTTTTTAAATTGATCAGCTATTTTCAGTCTTGAGCAAGGCCCATTACATAGTCTCAAGATGTCGTTCCTAAGGGTTTTTATTTCTTATATTAGAGCACTGACCTACTTATTCAGTTATTCTTTGGGGTGGAGAATCTGCTGCAGATGTTACATTCTGGAACATCAGATGATATACCAGCTCTTTCTTTATTTTGGCACAGGTGTTCAGATTTATGACCGGACAACTATTCTTCATATAATGGTCAAAAAAGGCCAAGTTACTGGTGTGGAAACAGATAAAGGACAGATTGAATGCCAGTATTTTGTCAACTGTGCTGGTCAGGTAGGTTAGCAACAATATTGAGCAGATGATTTTCTTATTTAATTTGGATATTTTTGGTGTAGAGCATTAAGATTAATACTGTGAATGACTAAAGAGAAGTTAGGTACTATACTATTTCTTGTTTGGACTGAAAAAATCAGAATTCTTTTATCTGAATCAGAAAATTATACTTATTCCTCAAATAGAAGCATCTGTGACCTTTTCCTCCTTCTGCACCAGGTTATTTGGTGCCATCTGGTCAGGAATGCCAGCAAATAGTTAGACATTGACATGAATCCTTGTTTTTGGGTATTTCCATAATGTTAAATTTCATTCTACAACCTAGCAGATAAAATATTAGGCTATTTTATTGTATTAGGACCATGTTTGAACACTAAGCTCCTTCTACTTCTGAGGCAAATTGGTACCTTTCCTTCTACTCTGCAGTCTTAAGGTGATCTAGGAAATACTCCTTGCTTTATGAAGTTTACTTAATGATTGGTATCTGGAGTTATTAGTTGAGGCCAGGCATTTTATTAAAAGGGCTTCTGCTGTCTTGATTGGTAAATCCATTGTCCTTTGATTAAAAGGTTATTTTTATGTTTAAAAAATATAATAGTGTTGCTCCCCATCCAAATACTTGAACTAATTAAAGCAGGCTGAAACTTGGCTTCCCACACCTGTCACTCTAGCAAGAGCACACAGAAGCCACTTGAAATTAATTTCTTTTCAAGAGGCTTAACTTGCTCATTTGTGTTTCTGTTCCTCTTCCCACCAACAAATAAATCTGTCCATTTGTAGTGGGCATACGAGCTGGGTCTGTCCAACGAGGAGCCGGTTAGTATCCCGTTACATGCCTGCGAACACTTCTACCTTCTGACTCGCCCCTTGGAGACCCCTCTGCAGAGCAACACACCAAGTGAGGACTTGTACTTTTTTACAATCTTATCTACTTGCCAGTATCCTGTCCTCTGAAAAGGAAGACTTTCTGAAAAGGACAGATTGTACCTGAGTCTTTTATCTTCTGCAGCATGTTACAGGGAGGTAGACTCAATTCTAACTTTTCTGTGGTATTTCTTTATGAAAGGATAGTCAAATGGGCATGTCATCAAGCAATTTTTTGTTTTTGCAAGCTTAACTTTAGTCCCAAAAAGAGGTAATTGAGAATATTTGGAATGTAACTTTCAGTTTTTAATTTGAATGCTACCAATTGTAGAAATGTTACAGGTAAACCATAAACTTGGGTGGTATATTGGCTCCAGGTACTCTAGGAGAGGGTTTCGATATTGTTTTCAAGCTCTGCAGTCCCCTTTCTGTTAGACTTTTGCTTGGCACATGGCAGTCATGTAGTTTGATTGTGAGACTTTGCAAAGCTTCTAGACTTTTCCTGCTAAAGTTAGGGATAATCAGAGAAACCGTCTCCTCTGTAAATCTGCTGGGAAGATCCTCCCCCATGAACTCCAAAGGTATTTTTAAGCTGACTGATGCCTATGTGTATTGGATGCCATTTCCTTAATAAATCCATTCATGGGTATTTTGTTTCTTTTATGTCCATTTAGAAAGCTGACTTGCCTCTAAAATCTTGTTTGTTTGTTTGTTTTTCCTACTCCCCACTCCCTTGTCATTTTCCTTCCCAGCTATTGTTGATGCTGATGGAAGAATTTATATTCGGAACTGGCAGGGTGGCATCTTGTCTGGGGGCTTTGAAAAGAACCCAAAACCTATTTTCACTGAGGGCAAGAACCAGCTGGAAATTCAGAATCTGCAGGAAGATTGGGATCATTTTGGTGTGTGAATTACATTGTATTGATAATACCATCTATTTGTCTAAGATGTTCTACTTTTATTTTTTTTCCAAAGGTGTTATATTTCTCAAAGCATTTCAGGAATAGTACAATAGTAGTCACCAAAACATTCTCCATAGTTTGCCTAGTGTAGGGATGCAGTTACTGGTTAGGAAGTTTAGGGAACTAACATCTTGGTTAACAAATTTGGTTTATTATTTTTTCCCCTAAATCATTGCAGAAATTTTGGGCTAGGAGACTGCCTTTTGGTCATATTTTATATAAAACTGAAGAACTTTTTAAAAAGCAGAATTGTTTTATTATGTGGTCTCTTAATTTTATTTATTCAATAATTAATAGTTACATGGTTCCAAATTCAAGAAATAGGAAAGTATATCTGATGCATTTCCCTTTCATTCTTTTTTTTTTTTTTAATATTTATTTTTTAGTTTTTCGGCAGACACAACATCTTTGTTTGTATGTGGTGCTGAGGATTGAACCTGGGCCGCACGCATGCCAGGCGAGCACGCTACTGCTTAAGCCACATCCCCAGCCCCGCTTTCATTCTTGAAGGCCTTTTTTTTTTTAATGGGTGGTGGATTGGACTCGGGGCCTTGAACATACTTGGTATACACTCTCCCAGCACTGTGTGAACTTTCTTTTAAAAATAAACTTCTTATGGGAAGTTTGAAACTTTTCAAAGTATTTAAAGTAATATGACGAACACTGCCCCCCCACCACCACCCCCACGAACCCAAGCAACTCTACCCTGGATTCATCTATTACCATTGTCCCAAGGAATTATGGCCAGATGACAGATTCATTATTAAAAATGGGTAAGGATCTGTCTTGGAGCTATTCCAACAAAGGAAAACATTGTCTTTCATTGAAATCTCTTTGGGCACCACTTAAAGAGTTTTTCCACTCAATACTGGCTCATTCCATTACTCTCTGTGGCCACATGTATTATGCCATTCAGTAGCTCTCTTCCTTTCTAGAGTGTGTTTTTTCTGTCTTTATGCCAAGCATTTTGCAGGTGTGTCCTGTAATTCCACCAAGCTTTCTGATTTCTGATAAATAGCCCGCTTGGCTCTTAGAAAAATCCCTCCTGAGAAGTTTTCTGAAAGGAGTAGTAGTTTAAAAAAATCTCCCTATATATATTGGAGCTGGGGCTATAGCTCAGTGGTAAGCACTTGCCTAGCATGTGTGAGGCACTGGTTTGATTCTCAGTATCACATATAAATAAATGAACAAAATAAAGGTTGTCTAAAATTTTTTTTAAAAATATATGTATTTGTATATGTATATGTATATATAAGATTTGAAAGTTTTTAGATTCCCTAAAGGTAAACTCTATTTGGGTTTGTTTTTATTGCTCAGAGCCCCTGTTGAGTTCCCTCCTGCGCAGAATGCCAGAATTGGAGACTCTGGAGATCATGAAGTTGGTGAACTGCCCTGAGACCTTCACACCAGACATGAGGTGCATCATGGGCGAGTCTCCTGTAGTACAGGGCTACTTTGTCCTGGCAGGGATGAACTCTGCTGGCCTGTCGTTTGGTGGAGGAGCTGGAAAGTAAGTCTTCACGCAGAGTCAGTTATGAATACATGTCAGCTTGCTGGGCTTTTTCCCTTCTAGGATTACTTGCTAGGATGTTATGTAATATTTTTAATCTGAGATGCTAAAGATAATGATAAGATTAACATACATATAATTGGAGAATTGTCTCCTACAAAGAATTCACCATGGGAGGCTCTCCCCATATTCTAGAAGTGTCATTTTGAAAAATATTTTGCGAACTTCTTTTTTGAAGTTAGCCATAGAACTTGTGTGGGTTTTTTTTTTTTTTTGTACTTTTTCCAGTCATAACAAGTATGGCCCTTCAAAGTGTATATTTGAGTTTAGAAGTAGCCAAGTGTGTTGTGAGTGTGGTAGGTGATCAAGCTGTGTGACATGTTATTATTTAAAAAGTAGGTATTAGTAAAAATCAGTAAATTACAAAGGGATGTAAATACTGTACAATTCCACTTATGTGAGGAACCTGGAATGGTCACATCTGTAGACAAACAGCACAGTAGTGGTTGCAAGGGTAGAGGAAGTTACTGTTTAACAGGTATAGTGTTCAGGTCTGCACGATGAAGAGTGAGTTCTAGAGATGGATGATGTGCATGTACTTAATACTACACACGTAAAAGTAGTTTAAGGTGATAATTTTTATTTGTATAGTTGACCCTTGAACAATTTAGAGGTTAACTGCATAGTTGAAACATCTGCTTATAACTTATTCATTCAATTATTTTACAGTACTGGGGACTGAACCCAGGACCTCATGCATGTTACATAAGTGCTCTGTCTCTGAGCTACATCCCCAATCCTTTTTTAAATTTTAGTTTTCATTTATTTATTTATTTATTTTTGCAGCACTGGGGACCAAACCAAGGGCCTCACACATGCTAGGCAAGTGCTCTACCACAACCACATCCCCGTCCCCAAAATTTTATTTTTGAGACAGAGTCTCACTGAGTTGCCCAGGCTGGCCTTGACTTTTTAAGATCCTTCTACTGCTGAATAGCTGGGATTTATAGGAATGTGTCAGTGTACTCAGCTTCCTTATAAATTTTGTTTTAAAGTGATTTAAGACCTTTATTAATAGGTGCTTGCAAGTATTAGCTTTTTTTTTTTTTTTTTTTAAAGAAATATCAGTTCATAAGGGACTGGGTGTATCCTTAGTATGAGACCCTGAGTTCAATCTCTAGCACCAAAAAAAAAAAAAATTCTGTAAATTGTTTATTATAAATTATAAATGGAGTTCTTAAAAATTTCAACCTGACCAGATACAAAAGCATTTAAAAGCTTATACAGGTGTATTGAGAACAAACAGGCTTTTTAAAAAACAAAAAAATCTCAAATTTGTTATCAGCAGAGAGTATCAATTATTAAAAATAACAAAAACTCCCATGCTGCATAGATAATGCACATGGTTCTAATTATCTCATTAGTGGATAAAAAAGCAAGCACTTCAGGTCTTCACTTCTGAACTTCTGTTCATTTCGTATTTATTTTTTCTTTTTGGATGACTAGATGGTGAAGATGGTAAGGTGGCATTTACCTAGCCCTACCCTGCTCAGCCTTGGGAGCCCATGAAGTCTAAGCTGATGGAGAGGCTGCCTCTGGCACTGTGCTATCCTATGGTTTAGGTTTTTCTGGGCATCTGCAGGGTAACTGAAGTTGCGGCTCTACTAAGATTGAGATGGCTGCTGACCTCAAGTCTCTTTGATTTTATCTTTGTTGCCATCTTCTCTAGGAATCATGGTCTTTAAGCCCATACACATCATTTCTCACTGGTCCACCTTCCCTGCACCATGGTTGTCAGCATCAGCACCCTGTATCACATCTCCCTGCACGGTTGGTTCTGTGGTTCACATCTGTGGTGTCTCCGCAGTAGGTAGGGGAGGGGGTGCTTTTTCTCTTTGGAGATCAGTTCTGACCCCTCAGCCTTTCCCCCAGTCTATTCTGGTAATTTTGGTGACTGCATGGATGATCCCCTATGATGTAAATCACATCTAAAGTGATTATGGTCTATTGCATATTTTCTGCCTTGAACTGGAACTCTACCAGATCCTGACACATTTGCTGCTTCTACCTCCTTTTCTTTTTCTACATCAAACTCCAGTCTTTCTATCCTCTTTATCATTAAAGGACTTCTGGGGTTTTTACATGACAAGCTGGCCTTCAAATATATCTCCCTTGGTATCATTCCCACTGATGAAACCATATCCATTTATTTTATTTTATTCTATCTTATTTATTTATTTTTTGTGGTGCTGGGGATTGAACCCAGGGTCTTGTGCATGCTAGGCAAGCACTCTACCAACTGAGCTATATCCCCAGCCCCATATCCTTTTCTTAAATTGAACTGTTCTACTGCTCCAAAAATTTTGTGATGATCTTTTTAGTTTCTACCCACAGGCAATAAATGTGAGGCCACCCCGGCCATTGCTCCCAGCACTGGGCTTGGCGTGAGCAGCAAGTGGCTAATGAATCTCAGTCTCCTGCTCACTAGTACAGTGATGGCCTGCTGTGGCAGCTCCCCTTGAGTGAGGATGACTAGGCTAGTGGTAGCAGGATGCTCAGGGCATGCTAGGCTCCACTTTCTGCTTCCACTACTAATCAAACTCTGGATACAACTTTTGAACTCCCCCAAAACTTAACTCTAACAATCTGCTGTGGACTGAAAGCCTTGATAACATAATCAGTCAATTAACACTTACTTTCCATGTTGTATGTATCATAAACAGTGAAAAATGCAAGAGAACTATAAGATCATGTTACTGTGGTAGATGAGCTGCTTATGGGGAGATGAACAGCACTCAATGGTTGTTTAAATGAATGCTCACAACGCTTGAGCTCACTGAAATAGCAACAGGAGGTGGCTACAAAATTATCACAATAGTATAGTCTATACTATAGTTAACTTTATGCAATTACAGTTAAATACTCCATCTTTAGATCTGTTTACATCTCCAGTGCAGATGGCACCATGTATGGTTAGAGAGTATACGTTTTGATAAATTTTAATTCTGTAATAGATTTGTATATATATTTGTATATATTTTGTAAATGATAAAATAGACTCATCATATATTTTATACATGACGTAATTCTTTCTTATTTTTTTAATGTAGCTAGACTACCTGATTCAACTGTTTTTCTGAAGTTATTGCAAATCCCCCCTGCCCCGCCAAAAAAAAGCATATAAATGTGGAACTTTACAATTCAAACCCGTGTTGTTCAAGGATCAAAATATAGCTTTTATCATACTTTAATTTTTTTTTAAATAATGAGGCCAGTTTTCTCCAGTGGTTGTAGAATGGCTCTGAAAACCACAGAAGAGGAATTACCAAAAACATTTGGAGCAAAAGAGATGCATGTGGTCAGAGAGCTATATAATTTCACTAGGTGACTGTTTTACAGAAAGACTACATTTTATGTATGTTTTAATCTTATTTCTTCATTGATGTGGCTTATGTCAAAAACTTTCTAGGGACTCTTCTTACAGCTAAAATTCTCAGTGTTTTTCTGAGATACTTTGGGTCCATGTTTTTTTATTATAAAAAAGTTAAGAAAATTGCCCCAAATTGCTCAACTGTTGGTGACATTGTAGGATCTTTTGATTCCACTAGTTCTTGATTTGTAGAATATTGCTTTAATTCTCTTGTGTATCACATCTGAGACCCAACAACTTTTTGTCCCCCACCTAAGATACCTGTCCCCACAGGTATCTTGCTGAATGGATGGTACATGGTTATCCCTCAGAAAACGTCTGGGACTTGGACTTGAAACGCTTTGGAGCACTCCAGAGCAGCCGTACCTTTCTGCGTCACCGGGTCATGGAAGTCATGCGTAAGTGAAGCTTTATCCTAATTGCACCTAGTTGCAGATATCTGTCTGGTGGCATGTTTTGTCATTTGAATGGGGCAGAGTTTTCTTCATTCCTTTATTAACTGCTTGAGCTGGGCTTCTAATGTGTGTTTCAGGCCTAGGTTTGAGGCCTTATGCCCCTTGTGATATTTATGGAACATTTTTAGTATATCGTACATTAATTTTGGGAACAGGAAAATAGAAAAAGGTTTTCAGGTGATATGCAGTTGCTTCCTCTATATTGCCAGCAAGTGCCTCCTTGCCTTCTTTCCTGCCTTGTGAGATCCTATGTCAAATGTTTTGCTCCTCATTTGGTTGGTTTGTTTTTTTCAGTACTGGGAATCAAACCCTGGGCATGCTGGGTAAACTTAGCACATACTAAGCCAGTGCTCTACCAGTACTGGGAATCAAACCCTGGGCATGCTAGGTAAACTTAGCACATACTAAGCCAGTGCTCTACCACTGAGCTACACCCTTATCCCCATTTGGTTTTTGAGATCATTTTTTTCTTTCCAAGGCAGAAGTTTTACCAAGGTACTCTCAGAATTTCAGGGTTCTCTGATGACTTTATTCATCCCATGCTAGCAAGATAAGAAACCACTTCTCCCATAAACACAAAGTATGCATTCCTAATCTTATTTTCCTTATCCTTGCTTCTTTAACGATATTGAAAGATTGACTTCTTTATTTTTATGTGGTGCTAAGGATTGAGCCCAGTGAATGCCTCACAAGTGCTAGGCAAGCACTCTACCACTAAGGTACAACCCCAGCCCTTGGTTTCTTCATTTTGACTTGTTATTCTACCTTGTCCAGTAAACTTGTAGAGACAGCTTTTTTTTTTCCCCTTTGGAGGGGGGTGGGTAGTACTAGGGGTTTAACCTGGGCAATTAACCACTGAGCCACATCTCAGCACCTGCTTTTATAAAATGTATTTTTTAAATTTTGAGACAGGGTCTTACTAGGTTGCTTACAGTCTTGCCAACCTGTCGAGACTGGCTTTGAATCTGTGATCCTCCTGTCTCAACCTCTCATTCTGCTGGGATTACAGGTGTGTATAATAGCTTTTGTTTCAGGAACTTAACCAAATTATATAGGTTCTGACAAGTAATAATTTAGTTTCTCAGTATAGGAAAATTATTGACTTTACTAAATCATGTCTAAATATTTTGGGCATATTTATGCTTAGGAATAAATTTCTGAGCCAGGTGTGGTGATGCACACCTGTAATTCCAGTGACTTAGGAGGCTGAGGCAGGAGGATTGCAAGTTCAAGTTCAGCCTCAGCAACTTAGTGAGACAATGCCTCAAAATAAAAAACAACAAAAAAAGAACTGAGGATGCTCAGTGGTAAAGCATCCCTGGGTTTAATCCCTAGTGTCCCCCTCCTTGACAAAAAGGAATAAAGTTTCTAGATTACTGTGACCACCATTTTTGGTCAAAATTGCATTGTTCGCTTAGTAGCTCGATGATATTCATGGTAAGACTTTTGGATGGCCTTTGATGCCTGAGTGCTCACTTTTGGCTATGGCAGACAACTTACATTCTTAGGAGATGAAGGACCTAGAAGCAGTATATTTAACTGATAAGGTTAATTTTAGTAAATGTTTTAGTAAAAAATGTTAAACTGTTCAAGTCTAGATTTTCCTGCCTGTTGTTATTTTATTTGGTTTTTGCGGTGCTGGGGCCTCATGTATGCTAGGCAAGACTCTATCACTGAACAACGTTTCTAGCCCTCCTGCCCATAGTTACTTTAGAACCTGTGTAAATTATAATTAAGCTTGAGCTTCTCCTTGGTGATGAGACACTTTTGGTGTCCTTCTGTGATTCTCATAATAAAAATTGGAGGCATGACAGAAAATGGGGAAGGAAAAAGTAAAACCTATGATATCAGAGGTTGACAAATTGTCAACATGCAGGGAACTCTGTGGCTTCTTCCTCTTTAAACTCCCAACATCCCTTCCATCCCCATCCCAGTGTACCTTTCATCTGGAGTATAGTCAGGTCTTCTCTCTGGAAGAGATTAGAGATCACACTCTTCTGGTTGTTTTTACTTAATGCTGTTGCAGATTGGCCATGAAGAAAAATGAATTCTGACCCTAGCTTATTATGTGAATTATGTTACTGGGACAGTACAGTGCAACCTCTCAAATTACAGAGCCACCAAATGGAGGCAAACTGTGTACCCTTTCACTTTAGAAATTGATTAAATCTTAATGGAGAAAGAAATACCTGTAATGGTATTGAGATCCCGACAACACAAGCAAAGAATCAAGTACCATTTTTCACATTGTTATTATCCACCTGGGTCCTTAGACATAATCTTCTCCTCTGTTGTGGAACTGAGCAAAGTTTAGAACTATGACTTTCCTTTCATTGTTTCTGCCTACTAAAGTGGAAATATGATTGTGAACAGAGACCATGAGTCGCTGGTAGATAGCTTTATATGGTCTTACAGTGTTGTCCTTTCTTTTGGATCATGCCTGTTAATACTAGGTAATACCTGACAAATTAGGCTGCATCAGCCTGCAAATTATTCTCTCATGAATAGAAATGATTCAAGTTTAGTAGATATTGGATATTCAGCTCCAGAATCTGTGACTTGAACTTTGATAAACTCTCTTGTCTCTTTTAGCTCTGATATACGATCTGAAGGTTCCCCGTTGGGACTTCCAGACAGGTAGGCAGTTGCGCACATCTCCTCTGTATGACCGGCTAGATGCACAAGGAGCCAGATGGATGGAGAAACATGGATTTGAGAGGCCAAAGTACTTTGTTCCACCTGACAAAGGCAAGAAGTCAAATTTTTGTTAAGTTTTACTGGTTGCCAATTGGGAAAAAAAAAAAAAAATTATTATTTGTAGCCAGGCATGGTGGTGCATGCCTGTAATCTCAGTGACTTGGGAGGCTGAGACAGGAAGATTACAAGTTCAAAGCCAGCCTCAGCAACTTAGCAAAGCCCTGTCTCAAAATAAGACACAAAAAGTACTGGGAAAGTGATGCACTGGTTAAGCACCCCTGGGTTCAATCTCTGTTACTCCACCCCACCCCCCAATCTAATTTATTTGTAAATGTATAAACCTACAATGTGTTCTTGTAAGAATAAATAATGAATTTCTGCTAGGCTACACCAAACTATAAAGGAACAGTCCCCAGTGTAAATCCCCTCCTTTTCTCTCCACCTTTTGTTTTTTCTGATCCACAGACCTCCTTGCATTGGAGCAGAGCAAGACTTTCTATAAGCCAGATTGGTTTGACATTGTGGAGGCTGAAGTCAAGTGCTGTAAGGAAGCTGTGTGTGTCATCGACATGTCCTCTTTCACAAAGTTTGAGATAACAGTAAGTATTTATGAACCAAAATAAGATTGGGAAACTTGTCATATTCATCTGTTACTTCAAAACTGATTCTGAAAGAATCCGCGTAAACTGCAATGTCACATCTATATTATCACATTTTTATGACTCTTCAGCTCCTTATGTCCATTTTTTTTGTTGTTGTTTTATTTAGAGTTTTTAATCTGCCTAGAGTGGCTCATTTAATAGCAAGCTTTCTCTGGAGCTATCACACGGGTGCTGGCTCATTGAATTTTCTCAGCAAGGTGCAGTGCTAGTTGGCCATGCTACCAGCCAGGTGCTCTCAGGGGCACTCAATCACTGAGCCACATGCCCAGTCCTATTTTGTATTTTATATAGAGATGGGGTCTCACTGAGTTGCTTAACTCCTCACTTTTGCTAAGGCTGGCTTTGAACTGGCAATCCTCCTGCCTCAGGCTCCCGAGCCACTGGGATTACAGGCCTGTGCTACCACACCCCGCCACTAGCCAGCCAGGTGCTCTTGCTCTTGAATTAACTTTCCCTGCTTCATTCTATGCCCTGCAGTCCACTGGGGATCAGGCACTAGAAATTCTACAATACCTCTTTTCCAATGATCTGGATGTGCCTGTGGGCCACATTGTACATACTGGCATGCTCAACGAGGGCGGAGGATATGAAAATGACTGTAGCATCGCACGCCTTAGCAAACGCAGGTGAGATTACTTACCATTCCACCCTGTTCTTCCAACAGGCTGATCCCTTAAGGTTTCTGTAGCAGGAGTACTTGATGTACTTTTCCTGGGACTAAAAAACCATTTCATTGCTGGGAGTGGTGGCACAGTCTTGTAATCCTGGAGGCCCACGAGGCTAAGGGAGGAGGATCACAAGTTCAAAACCAGCCTCAGCAACTTAGTGAGGCCCTAAGCAACTTATCAAGACCCTGTCTCAAAAAGAGCTAAAAAATAAAAAGGGCTGGGGATGTGGCTCAGGGCTTGAGTGGCCCTGGGTTCAATCCCCAGTAACAAATAAAAATAAAAACCAATTTCATAAACTTACGGTCAATTCACAAATTTTCTGTAATTTGGTGTCCCCCCCCCCCCTACTGATTTTTCAATTTAGGCTTGAAATGGTTTATGAAATAGTAGTGCAGTCCCTCCTCTTCTGTCACTCCAGTCCAGGTTTTAACCCTTCTCTGTGACATTGTTTACTCTCCCAGACCGTCTTCATCAGTTTTTGTCAGTAGTAGCAAATGTGATGAAATTCTTACTACGAGGTTGGTAAACTACCATTTCATAAAGTCATTGTCAGCCCTAAACAGAAAGAATTCAGGCTGGGGGGAACCCACCAGATTACAGAAAATAATTATAGAAATTAGCCTACTGAGCACATGCCTAATGTAGGAAAGTTTGTATAACTTATTGGCACTAACAAGAAGCTAGAATTTTCTGTTTTGTCATTTTTTTGTTTATTCCATAATGATGCTGCAGACCCTTCAACAAAGTTAAAGCATCATTTCCCAGTATACTCAATGGGCCTTTGAAACTAGAGAACTTAATGCTTCCTGATGCTTTCTCTGCTACCTAAATTTGATCATTTTGGGGTCTCATTTTCAGTTTCTTCATGATCTCTCCAACCGATCAACAGGTCCACTGTTGGGCCTGGCTTAAGAAACACATGCCGAAGGACAACAACCTGCTGCTGGAGGATGTCACCTGGAAATACACTGGTAACAGGGTTTTATTGGGTCAGCCAAATGAAAAAAAGCCAACTGATCCAAAAGTGTCTTCCACATTTTCCTTTTTTTTGGATTCTTAAAAGTGAATGTCAGAGCTGGAGCTCAGTGGTAGAGCACTTACCTAGCATGTGTGAGGCACTGGGTTCAATCCTTAGCACCTCATAAAAACAAATAAAATAAAGGTATTGTGTCCATCTACAACTTAAAAAAAAAAAAAAAAAAAAAAAAACATCAGAGAGATTCTGTGGTCATAGAAAGTTGATCTGATACCTCCCCTACTTTATTCGTTTCCATTTAAATATTTGTTAAATGAGTAACTTTTAAAGGAATTTTTATATTTATTAATATATAATGTTCTTCAGATTTTCATCTTACCTTTTTTTTCAAATGGGTAGTTTTTTAAGGGTGACTTAATTTCCTGATTCTCTCTTCTTCAGCAGCTTCTGTTGGGGAACCAGCCCTTCCTTTTATTATCTCATTTTAGGTTTAACTCCTCCTTCCTTGCCTCCCATGTGACTCCTGCCCCTCTTCCTGCCAGTATTTACTCTCCCAGGCCTTCATTCTCAATTTGTCATTAGTAGAAAATGTGATTAACTTCTTGCTGCTATGAGGTTGGCAAACTCCAGACTCTTAGAAAACAGAAGTTGTGTTCTAGCATGTACTAGGTTAGCTGATGTGTAATTAGCATAAGGTAAGCCTAGGATGGGTGGGCAGCTCCCTTCCAGGTACTTATTTGGAACTGGGGCTTTTTCCATCTTGTAGCTTCACTGGGAAGACAAAGAGAATGAGAATTGTGCAGAGGGGGAAGTGTCCCTTTGGTTAGACTTGGTCTCATGACCTGATGTCAATGTAGAGGCTAGAATGTTGTCTTCCTGTAAAACAGGGATTAAAAAAACCTACTGACCAGGCTTTCATGCTAGCACTGTCACATTTCCAGAATGGGAGTGCTTTACATCCATTCCTGGATTGCCTAAGCAAAGGAACACTTTTGTGATTTTACCAGCCAGGCCAGGCCACAGTTGGCAGTTTCAGAACAAGCTTTTTGCATTGGCTCAGCTGTTCACCTGGAGAGGCTGGACATCTCTCTCTCTTTTCTGTACAGCCCTCAATCTAATTGGTCCTCGAGCTGTAGATGTGCTGTCCGAGTTGTCCTATGCCCCCATGACTCCAGACCACTTCCCAACTCTCTTTTGCAAGGTATGTGCAAATAGTTTTGTTTTCACATGAGCAGAGAATATTTCTTTTATAGTGGTGACAGATAACATTCTTATTATAATATTAACACAAAGTGTTCTGTCCTTTATTAAGTAAACAAAATGACCATGTCTTTATTTTTTTTTTGTGGTACTGGGGATTACACCCAGGGGCACTTTACTAATGAACTATTCCCAGTCCTCTTTCTTTAAATTTTGCAATATGGGTAGGCCTTGAACTTGCAAACTTCCTGCCTCAGCCTCCCAAGTTGCTAGGATTACAGGTGTGCATCACCATGTTGGCTACATTTTATGTGTCATCCACTTTCCTATTATTCTAGTTTTCCTTCCTTTGCAAGGTAGTAAAAACAATAGAATCTGCTGCTAGAAGGAATAATCCATGTGCCTGTGCCTGGTAAGTGCTGAATCATGGCAGGCTTCCTATGGAAGTGTTTGCATCAATGCTGAGATGTTGCACATTCCTTTATTGGGTAGTGATTGAATTGGTGACCCCTCCTAGGTAACTAAGCTGACCTAGCATGTTTTGAAAATTAGAAGCATAGACTCTGATCCCAGGGTAGCAGATGCAATGTGTTCTGTAGGGCTCAAGCTTTTTTTTTTTTTTTTTTGCAGGGGTGTGGGTGGATGGGTGAGAAATTGGGAATTGAACTCAGGGGCACTCAACCACTGAGCCACATTCCCATTTTTTATTTTATTTAGAGACAGGGTCTCATTGAGTTGCTTGGAATCTTGCTTTTGCTGAGGCTTTGAACTTAAGATTCCCTTGCCTCAGTTCCTGAGCTGTGGGGATTACAGGCATGCGCCACCACACATGGCAGGCGCCAGAGTCCCCAAGAAAAGACACTTGTCTAGCCTTCAGATCCTCCTGACTACCCCAAGTCTTTTTCTTTTTTTGGTACCAGGGATTGAACCCAGGAGCCTTAACCACTGAGCTACATTCCCAGCCCTTTCTTATATTTTTATTTAGAGACAGGGTCTTGCTGAGTTGCTTAGGACCTCAATGAATTGCTGAGGCTGGCTTTGATTGAACTCACAATCCTTCTGCCTCAGCCTCCCAAGCCACTGGGATTATAGTCATGTGCCATCATGCCTGGTAAAGAGAAATATTTCATGCTTATCAAAGACTGCTGTCACTTCCCTAAATGCTAAAACTCCAGAAATTGTGATATTCATAAGAAGAGATGTTGTAAAGGCTGTGCTTTATTTTCAGGATGAAATGCTTTCCTTGATTGTGTCTGCTTAGTTAAAGCAAAGGGTACAGTGCTAATGAAAGTATTCCCTTGAGCCATTCACTCCCTTGTCAAGCCTACATGGTGTCCACTTATGCCGATTGCTGCCTTTTCCTCTGCAGGAGATGAGTGTGGGCTACGCAAATGGGATCCGGGTGATGAGCATGACTCACACAGGAGAGCCAGGATTCATGCTTTATATCCCCATAGAGGTAAGAGAGCTCAGCCTTCTTTTCTAGGGACCACTGTGAGGAATGCTGGCTTTCCCAAAGTCCCTAAGCATTAGCAGGTTTGAAAAGCTGTATCTGATTGGGAGTTTGAAATTCCATGAGGTCAGCTGCATGGAAGAGATTTCATAATTTCCAAGTTAGTTAAATTAATAGGTAATACACTTACACGGTTTAAAAATTCAAATGTGTGTGAAATATATAAAACTGGTGCTGTCTGACCAGTTCTTACCAACCACAACCAATGTATTAGTATGTACTATCAAGAGATTTTTTTGTATATGCAAGCAACTTTAAAGATGGAGTTCTTAGCCCTCTCTCCCCCATTTTTTGTTAATTTGTTTTTGGTGGTGCTGGGAATCAAACTCAGGGTCTCATACATGCTACCAACCACTCTAGCACTTTTTTTTTTTTCCCCCTCTTTAAGACAGGGTCTTGCTAAGATGTTGAGGCTGGCCTCAAACCTCCTGCTTTAGCCTCCCCAATAGCTGGGATTATAGACATGCACTGCCCCAGCCAGCTCTTAGTCCCCTTTTAAAAACACAAATGAAAGCATAATGTTCATTTTGCTTTTTTCTACTTAATAATTTATCTTCTAGATTTTTCTATATTAGCGCTTAAAGAGAAAGCTTTTGTTTAAGCAGTGACACAATATATTAAGGCTGAATCATAATTAACTAGACTAGCACTAATAAACATTTGTAGTATTTCCAGTCTTTAGCTATTAAAATTCTGTGGTATGTAAGAGTGTCTTTTTTCCTTGTTATCTGTTGTCAGACCTGAGGCTTTTGCCAGTTTGTTAGGGGCAAAATAATTCTCATCAGTATATTTCTTTTTTTTTTTTTTGGTAGTGCTGGGGATTGAACCCAGGGCCTTGTGCATACAAGGCAAGCACTCTACCAACTGAGCTACAACCCCAGCCCCCCTCATCAGTATATTTCTAATTTCCCTTTGGCTTTTCAAATTCCATCTCCATCCAAGTAAAAGCCAGTCTGTGGGGCCCAACGTGTCCTCCATCCTGTTGCATGGCCTTGGACTGTCTTCTCTGCTTCTTTTCCTCTTTCTAGTCTTGGAACCTCCCAGATTTTACACTTAACTCCTCCCTCCTTTGGCATATCTTGCCCTGGATAGAAAACCTCAAGCTCACAGCCTCCCCTCCTTCAGGTCTTACTCACATGTCACCTCTCACTGAGACCTTACTGCAAGTTGCTGTTCTCCCTGTCCTTCCCTTTTTTCTCCATAGCATTTTTCACTGTCTAATTTGATTTGGTTCATCAGATTGTCCTGTTAACTTTTCTGTTCCTGTCACCTAAGGGAGTACTTACCCCACAGTAAGTACTCACTGAATTCTTCTGCTTATGTCCTGTCCATATTTCTATTGTATTATTGTTCTTTTTAATCAGTTTCCAGGCATTCTTTCTGTGTTAAATAGCCCTTGGTGTCCACTTGCAAATTTTTTTCCAGTTTATTTGATTTATGGTGTTCTGGCAGTACTGGGTAACAAATCTGGGATCTTACACATGCTAGGCAAGCAATCTTCCACTGAGCTATATACCTCCAGCCCTCCATTTTGCCAAATAGGAACGTTTTTAAAAAATTTTATTACAGAAAAAGTTTCATTTAAATTTCAAAAAATTAAAATTTATTTACTTGAATTCTTCAATATTTTCTTTCTGGACTTTTTTTTTTTAATATTTATTTTTTTTTAGTATTTGGCGGACACAACATCTTTGTCTGTATGTGGTGCTGAGGATCGAACCCGGGCCACACGCATACCAGGCGAGCGCGCTACCGCTTGAGCCACATCCCCAACCCTCTTTCTGGACTTTTGATTCATTTTAGAAGGGACCTTCCTACTCTAAGGTTATATATATTTTTGTTATTTATGATTTGGGCTTTAAAAAAATACTTAAGATGCTTGATCCTTTTAGTCTCTTAGTGCATATTATGAGTTTTGAATTTTTTTGAATCAGACTTTTTCCACATGGCTCCCTTTATCATATATTAAATCCTATTTGGGTTTGGTTCTGACTTTTCTATTCTATTGGTATATCTGTTTATATGATTTTTATATTTGTTAATGCTTACCTTTTCTTGCAGTGGAAAACTCTGGAGAAAAAAAAAATGCTGGGGATATACCTCAGTTGGTAGAGTGCTTGCCTTGCATGTACAAGGCCCTAGGTTCAATCCCCAGCACCAAAAAAAAAAAAAAATTCTGTTTTCCTTTGGCGTACTATGTGTGAAGCCCCCAGTACTACAAAAAGAGCCAGGAATGTACCTGTAATTCCAGCTGCGTGAGAGGCTGAGGGAGAAGGATTGTTAAGTTTGAAGCCAGCCTAGGCAACTTAGACTGTCTCAAAAACAAGAAACACTATTGGCATTTTGGGGGGGGGTTGTATTATGTTTCTCAAGTGAGAATTGACATTCATGTGATGTAGTGAATCTGGCAATCCAAGACTTGGATCTTGTATTTTTTATTCAGTTCTTTAATATTTTGTTGCTACTGTGAATTGGGGGGGGGGGTTCTCTAAGTGATCAATTCATAAAAACTATGTTTTCATGAATTGATCACTTAAGCTGTGCATTATTTCCCTACTAAATTATCTTGTTTTAGTTTTTGAGACTGGGATTTCCAGGGTTAAGTCTTACTATTTGGAGGTAACAGTTTTTCTTCCTCCTGAAATATGCCATAATCTATGAAAAATTAGATGTGTGCATGCACATCTAGAATTATGGGTAAAAGCCTGTTTTTTCACAGCTTTGGGCCAGTGCATGAGGGAATGGCAAAAGAGAAAAAGGTAGAAAAACCGTAGAGGGTAACTGGACTATTTTAGAAACAATTATAAAATTCGTTATTTACCAAATGGTGAGAGTGCTTTAATAACTGTTATATATTGAAATCACCTTGCACTTTTGAGAAGTGAAAGATCAGGGTCCTGCCTTTGTGGAAACTACATTGTAGGGTGGAGTGGCCCCAGCTCATTACTGCTGGGCTCTAGTGCCATGCTTTGTTGAGGGCAAGATATCCTAGGAGCTTTCTATGATCCCTCTCTTGTCCACTGCTGCAACCTGTGCAGCATCAACAAAGGATTCTCACGTAGGGGTGACTGGAGGAAAAAAAGAGGCACTATCACATAAAGGTGGGACATTGCACTCTGATGGAGGAACAGTGACCCAGAACTAGCTCTGTAAATTTATTGTATAGTCTCATCGTCAGGAAGTTAAACTATAGGGGCATTATAAATTGTTTAAGGCTTGTGAGTTGTCAGAGGTTGCTTTGTGCACTAGAAAGTTAGAGTTAGAAACATTTTTTTGCAGCTATCCTAGAATAGCAGTGCTAGGAACTTTCTGCTGTGCCCAGGAAACCCACTATACTGAGACATCTGATAACACTTAGCTCTGATGCTAACAGTCAACATCCTCGGCTTTGGCAAAGAAATATTTTCCAGGATCAAAGGGCTCAATCTGCTCTCCAGAGTCCACATTAGTGTTGGAATACATCTGGAAGTGGTGATATCTATGTTTAATTCTGAAGATCTGCTGGTTACTAACCTTTCCTTTCTTTGAATAGTATGCTCTGCACGTATACAATGAAGTGATGAATGTTGGACAGAAATATGGAATCCGGAATGCTGGGTATTATGCTCTTCGCAGTCTCCGAATTGAGAAGTTCTTCGCCTTCTGGGGTCAGGATTTGAATACCCTCACCACGCCCCTGGAATGTGGACGGGAATCCTGGGTGAAATTAGAGAAGGTACGGTATTAATCCAGACTGTCCTGTAATTTTGTCAATAGACCTTTATTTTATTAACTTACATGTGGTGCTGAGAATCAAATCCAATGCCTCACACATACTTGGCAAGTGCTCTACCACTGAGCCACAACCCCAGCCCCACCACTCAGCTTCTTGAGCACTGAAGAAGAGCTGATGTGGCTGACCTGTATTTTTACACTTCTTCAATCAGGATGTATCCTCAGGGCAGAAGACTTGCCTATAGGATAAACATCTTTTAGAACAATACTCAGATAACATGCCCCTGAATGCACTAAAGGACTAGGCGCTCTGGGGGAAGTTTTTCTGAGTTGATTGGTGATTAGGTAATGTACTATAAGATGACTATAGTCTTTTTTTTCTTGGAAAACCATAGTTTCAGAAGGTTCTTTGAAAAATTAGTCTTTTACCTCTTAAGCCCACTCAATCTCTGATCCCCTTTGCCAAAAGAAGCAGTTTCTTGTTTACTCTTAAGAGAGTGACAGTGCAAGAATGCCTGGGTGTAATTTCCTGTCCCAACCTTAATCTAGGTACGTGTTCCCTAATAGTGCATGATCTATTGTATTCTTTTTGAGCAATTAATGTTTCTTGATGAAAAAATATTATAAAGGTATGCATTGATGTAGACATGCACGGACTTTAAAACAACTCTAGCAAGTATTTGTTTTTTAATATTTTTTAGTGGTAGACACAATACCTTTCTTTTTATTTATTTTTATGTGGTGCTGAGGATCAAACCCAGTGCCTCACATGTGCTAGGCCAAGCATTCTATCACTGAGCCACAACTCCAGACCCCTCCAGCATGTATTTTTGTTCTGTGTGGTTTTGCAATATAAATTGCTTATAAAAAAAAAATTGTATGCTTTTGTTACAAAAATTCTGTAACTTCTGTATTATGAATGCAGCTTTTCATATAGTTGTAATCATGCCATTTCCCAAAACCCAACAGGGGTGAGGGTGCTATATTCCAAGGGTCAGATAATAGAGAGGAGTCTTAGCTTTTCTTTTCTTTTCCAGGGCATGGATTTCATTGGTCGGGAAGCTCTGCTGCAGCAGAAACAAAATGGGGTGTATAAACGCTTCACCATGTTCATTCTGGATGACCATGACACAGACCTGGACCTCTGGCCTTGGTGGGGAGAGCCTATTTTCCGGAACGGGCAGTATGTTGGCAAAACCACCAGCAGTGCCTATAGCTATACTTTGGAGCGCCATGTGTGCCTCGGCTTTGTGCACAATTTTTCAGAAGACAGCGTTGAAGAGGAGGTGGTAACCACTGATTTCATTAACCGGGGAGAATATGAAATTGACATTGCAGGCCACCGGTTCCAGGCTAAGGCTAAACTCTACCCTGTCACCTCCCTCTTTGCTCACAAGCGCCGAAAGGATGATGTGGAGCTGAGTGACTTACAGGGGAAGTAATGGCAGGACAATCTCACCTCTTGTCATCTCATTGTAAGGAACATCATCTCAGAAGCTTCTTCCTTTCCTCTCACCCTGTCCCTGCTTACTAAACCTTTGCGTCCCATCTCTTACCTCCTTGATATAATTTTAAACTTGACCTACTTTTAAACTTTTGCTTTGGAACCCCTCTTTTCGTCCTGGTTGCAGTCTTCCCTCCTGTTCAGATTCCCATGGTGGCAGGAAGTTTATCGGACAGAGGCCAGGCTCCACTTGTGGAATTGTAAGGTGAAAAATTCTGTGTCTTAAAACAAGGCAAGCTGGTATTTTACAGGCCTTAGGACAAGAGTCCATCTCCCTTGGGCTAAGATTTCTTGGAGTAACTTGTTTATTTCGGTGGGGCACCTATGTGTATCTCATATGGCTCCTGGAATAGCTTATGCCTTTTAGGCAGATCATGCTGTCCCACTGCGCTATGGGTTAGTACCCAATACCTCTAGCAGGAAGATGATCATCTACCTCACTGGTGAGAAGTATTGCATGGACATCGTCTTGTTTGTAGTACAGACGAACAGTTAACCTTGCGCCATCCTCATCTTCCCTCCAGAATGAATTCTCAGATCTTTGGGCCACGGCAGCCTATTGTTTTCTTTATCTCTTGTACTCTATGGTGAGCTTGTTTTTTCTTTCTTAGCAAACAAATATGCCAGTGTTAGAGAAAAACCTTGTTGCCTTTTGTGTTGCTTTTCCCAACTGAAAGGGTCTGACTTCAGGAGGTATACAATCCTCTAAAATATTGCCTTTCTTTTATTAAAGTGACTCCTAGCTCAGCCTCACCTCTGCCCTATGCAATCAGCTCACAAACTCAGCATACACTGCTCTCCCTTTAGAGCAGGGAGGGAAAGTTTAGATGGGTTGTCCCAGGTGAGTAACCAAACTTTGCTATTCATGCTGAGTGCCAGAGCGCTACTAGAACCCAAGCTGTATATCTCCCTGGTGTGGAACAGAGCTGACCACATGGATCCATTGAGAGTTCTGAGTACAGTGGGTGTAGGTTACCTGGAGCATTGTTTTCCAACTTTTCCTTCTACACAGCTGTCCATCTCTGGCTTTTGGAATGCAGATGGCTAAGAGTACCCTGCACATTTTCAATCTGATGATATCTCTATTTTCTAAAGGTGGAACTTAGATGTCAGACTATATAATATAGCCCCAAAATGTCACTTCCCCTTTCATGTGAACAAACTGCTATTAGAAATTTTAATTCAGCTGTAGCCTCGCTGTCTTGACATCTTGGAAGCATGCATTTTGTTAATTCTATATTAAAGGAGATCTTTTCATTTCTTTAGAGCAACTTAAAATTCTCAGGTGTCCACTTGCTCTGCTATTTCTGTGGGATCTGTTACCCACGCAGACCAGTTTGACAATTCCTACTTGATGACAGACTTCACTGTCCCATCTTTTTTGGGTGGAAGGGGTCTTAATTGATTTACTAAGGCTGCATATGATTAGAATTGTTTGGGACCTTCCCTATTTTAGAACAAATGTGTATTTAGCCAAGACATGCTGCTTCGAGGAACAGGAGCAAGAAGTGTTTCTGTGCTGGAAAACTAAGCAGGGAAACAGCAGCTATTGGACTTAGGAGAGCAGAAAGAGACCTTTAGCAAAGGAGCTGGCTGACCTACTTTCCACCCTCCTCTTTGTAAATGAAAACTTACTTGGGATTAAATCAAAAAGAAATTCTTGGTTTATACACAGACAGTATGTGAAGATAAATTTGCTCTTTAACTGTTACATATAGAAAGTGTTTGTTAACCATGTATGATGTTCCAAATTGGAAAAAAGCAAATCCTTTAGTTTAAAATTGGGGAATGCTATTCTGTCATTCAAATAGAAATATTATCAGAAGTGTATTCACTGTAGTCTTTAGGACTTGATTTCTAGCTAATTATTAAATTAATTTGCTTCCTCCTTAAGTAGGAGGGAATATCTGATGATGTATCCAAAACAGTCACTGCATGATTTAACTAGGGAAATCCTTCCCTTTTGAGCCAACAGGCAGTACTAATCTTGCTGGGAGGGGATGATGGAACAGGACAAGTACTTTGAAAAACCTCCTCCATAAGTAGCAGCCATACTCCTAGGACTCTGGTGAGGTGCTGATCTTCTGAGCCTTCAATGCCCACATGGAAAATTGTCTTTGTCACTTTAAGTACATCCTCTCGGTTCAAACATAGGTATTATAAATCTAAATTTTTAAAAAATTTGGTCCTACTGTGAGTGCTCTGAACAGACTCTTCCCTAGCATAACTACTTTGCCTCTGTGTCATAAGCATAATAGATGTTACAAGCATTCTGGGCTCTTAAATAGTCAGTAGAAGCATTAGATCTTGAGGCATGGCTGTAGGAAACAGGCCCAACAACCAAAACATCATTTAGTATATCACCTTCTCCTTGGATGGTGGTGCTATATAGATTTGCCTGGAGTGACACCTCACCCTAGGAAGCCAGTTAGTTTGAGGAATTGTAGACTTTAGCTTTAGGTGGTTGCATACTTTTTTCTTTCTGTGGTGGTGGGGGGCTTTTATCTTGTCAGCAAATTATTGTTGAATCCAGGAACGAAAAGTATGTTGCCCTCAAAAGAGATCACCCAGTGTTGCAAGGTTTTTGAATCCTTGTCCTTGAAATATCTTTAAGTACTTCCTCCGGCTCTTTCTGTTAGTATTGTGTCCATCCACAACAATATATATTTTTTAACATGGTGCTGAGGATCGAAACCAGTGCCTCACACATGCTAGGCAAGAGTTCTACCACTGAGCTACAACCCCACCCCCTTCCCCTGGCTCCTTGTGCCAGAGGAAATCCTGTTTCTTAGCACTGCCGCAGTCACACTTGAAGCTGCATTGGAAAGATTTCTCTGCCATGACATGGGCGCTGAAGTCAAAACTTTCTGAAATAGAGGTGTTCTAAGAGCAAAAAGGGATAAGAGCTAACTGTTTTGTCTACTTGATATCATTTAATTTTGTATGACAGTCACATAGCAACTTCTCATGGGCAGAACAGGCTCCAAAATGAACAATTACCACTATATTTCTAGTATTCTTCCAGGGGTCTCTCCACCCGCCCTAATGTGGAAGATTCACATCAGGCCATGAACACAGGGATCATTTAGCTCATTGGTTAAACCTCAGCTTCATTTCTGCAGCAGTGGAGCCCAGCCACTTCAGCTTGGCTCTCACCTGGAGGGGTGCCATTCCTGGTTCTCTCTCCTGTACTCACCAAGAATTTTACCTGCTTGCTTGCTTTTAAGCCTTTTGCTTCCAAGAAAGTAAAACATGAAAAATAAAGCTTGAGCTCTCACAGTATACTCCATGCTGTGCATGCATTTGAAATGTTAGCCTCTTTCCTCATGGTTGACAGTGGCAATATAGGAATGAATGGTAGGAGCTTCCTGAAAGTGTGCTTTGTTTCCTGAGATGGCCCTGATTTCTGGTTCTGTTTATCCTCTGGCATATAAACAAATTTGCTGACATTTGAATATACCCTCATCATCCTTAAGAGAATCTGAGACAGAAGGGAATCTTTTACAGTGTTAGTACCAGGCCTGGGGGTCTATCCTAGTAGAACAATTGCATCAGACTGCTTTCAGAAGTGAGTTACAAGGTTTATTTCCATATCTACTACTTCTAGGCCAGGATAGTTAACAGGGGTCCTTTATGATATCTAAAAGCTCTGGTCACCAGGTTTCCTTCTGCATTCCATTCCCAACATGCCTCTCACAAATACTGAGTAGCATTTTATTAAGTTCAAAATGAACATCTTCACCTTTATCAGCAGGCATATGAATTAAGGAGAAGCAGGTGAATAGATGGAAATGGTAGATGAAGTAGTTTGCTCTTGGACTTCTAACCACACTATGTGTACATGCAGGAAGTGGTGAGCGAGTTCTGGGTCTGATGGGCAGCACCACATTCCATCCACCACCTCTTTTTTTTGCCTCCACTTCAAGGTGCTGAGTTGTAAGGCCCCCGATTCATGTCAGAGTGGGACTTGCTATTACAGTCCCTTATAACTACCAATGCACTGTTTTTCATAAGATCGATTTTTGTCTTTGCCTTCTCATTGTCCATCAGACATCAGAGTTGTTCCCTGTATAAGATTCTTGATTTTCCTGAGCATAGTGTCTGCATCTCTTTAAGAATTATGCATTTCTTCACAGGCTATTTTTCCTCACATTTAGGTGCACCTGTTTTTAATCCTTTGCAAACATCTTCTGCCTTCTTGTTTTCCTGTCCATGAAGGACAGAAACTATAAGAGGAGAAGAGAATATTTTTAGCATCTGTTTCAGATCTATACCAGGATTTCCTTTGCACACCAAGAACTGGAGTTTTGAGCTCCTCTTTCTCTGAGCCCAGTTCTAGTGCCTTACACTCCAGAATGTCAAGTGGCAGATGAAGGTAAGGAAGAATGGGAGAAGGAAGGTTCATTTCAGTCTGTGGGTTTCCATCACCCCCCCGTCTCTCATTCCTCAGAAAGAAATGGGCGTGATGTAGGTAGTTCTACAGCTCATTTCTGCAAAGAATTTTCTAGCCATGTAGTTCACAATTACTCTGGTCAACTCTTGGGATGTCTAACACCACTGTTAAGTGTGCAGTTCAGATCAGCCCTCTCTGTTCCTATGAAGAGTTAGCACATCATCCTGAAGACACTCTAGGTGCTTGAGTAAAGGGCTCTTTTCTCAAGAGCCCAGGTGACTTTGGGTACATAGGGTGACGAGCATTTCTGCCCTCCATGAATGTGGCATAAATAATGTGCTCTTTGTAACCAGCTGGATTTCAACCGATTTTCTTTTCATGGTACTAGGTATGTAAATGAATAAAGACATTTTAATTTCTCTTGCCATGTCCTTGTGTTTTCCATCATAAGGGACGAGCACTGTATATAAAGCCACTAGCTAAGAGCTTCTGTTGGTGTGGAAGACAAGGGTGTATTCTTACTTACCCCCAGGAGAAGAATCACCTTATCCAACCATTTTTTGCATTTCTACATATGAGCATCCATAGGACCTAAAGATTTTCTTTCTTACATGACACCTGCAGGCCACACACAGCTCAGAGAGCTGGTAGCTTTTCTGCTGCTGCATTCCTTTCTGCTACTGCAACTTGTCCCCTAACCCGAGGGGGCAACATGGATCAAATCTCTGGGCACCTGGACCATCCTGAGCATGGAACCAAATCTTAATAAAATGATTATGCTGGCAAATACTGATCCTGGGCCCACAGAGATCAACAGGGACACCCTGTAAGGGAAGTGGCTGCCTGCTATACACCAAGGTTATTCCCCAACTTTTCCAGTAACAATTCATAAGGTAAAAATAAAACTACTCAGGGGACTGGGTGGTGGCTCTGCTAAAGTGCTTGCTCAACATGTGTGAGGCACTCGGTTTGATTCTCAGCACTGCATATGAATAAATGAATAAAATAAAACCCTTCAACAACTACAAATACTTTAAAGTCAACATTAAAAATAACAACACTACTCAGAACTACCAGGAACTTTTCAGGTATACATCCAAAGAGAAAAGAGCACAAAATGTTTCTAGCCATTTGAAAGATCAGCCATTCTAAAGACTGTGTAAATTAAAAAAAAGGACTAATTATCCTGAGAGGTGGGGGGAGCCCCAGAGATAGACTACCATTTGGAGGCACTGGGCCTCTTCCCTCTCCCTCCTATCAACCAACCAACCGGACAAAAAAAACTTTGGCTTCAGGGAGCTAAAAGCTTTTAAAAAAGAGAAACTGCCACTTTTGGAGACTACCAAATCAAGGAGTCGGGGCGGGGGGGGGAAATCCACTAAATTCAAACACTCTGCCCCTAATCTTGAGAAAGTAAATATATTTTTTCAAATGAATATACCTCACTATTTTATTTATATATATATATATATATATATATATATATAGTATTGTGTGTGTGTGTACACACACTATACAATACTACACTATATATACTATAGCCTTGCTTAATTCCCCAGTCACATATCCATTGCTATAAAATATTCTATACTGGACTATAGATGCTCTTAGAAAAAAATTTGGGCACTTAAAATTGGCTTAATAACTTAAGTACCTAAGTCCCCAGATAAGACAGACAAGACAGACAGTATAGCCCAATGTAAGTAGAAATGGGACATTCAAGGATTAAAACCTATTAATCAACTCTTTAAAGATTATTCCCACTACTTTTCCTCAACTGCAACCCACTAGAGCCCCACATCTGATACATAACACTAAAAGGACTGATTCTATTCAGTCAACAACTGGTGAACACTGTGCCCTCACAGAACTGGCTAACCTGTTCTGTTAGTGGCTATTTCAACAGTCTCTCAATTGCAGTTTGCCTCCACCTCTGAAGGGGCACAATACAACTGGCTGGTTTACCCACAGGAGACCTCTACAGCTTTGCCATCACATGCAAACTAGACCAGATCTTGATGACATCTAACTCCTCAAGGAGCTCAGGTACAATATTACAATGAGGATATCCTTCTTGAAGGAGATTAATTTGATACGTGAATTAAGGATATTGCAGTTCAATGCTTCTTAGTACTTTTTGAGTTTTGGTAACAACATTCCTCATTTATGAATTTTCTAAATTAAAACTGACAGGCATTCCTATGAGTGTCCTCTAAAATGCATGCATGGGGCTGGGGTTGTGGCTCAGTGGTAGAGCGCTTGCCTAGCATGCATGAGGCACTGGGTTCAAGTCTCACACCACATACAAATAAATAAAGATCCATCAACAAATTAAAAATTTTAAAAAAAAGTGCATGCTTATAATACCAGCAACTCAAGAGACTGAGACAGGAGGATCACAAGTACAAGGGCTTAGGCAATTTAGTGAGACTCTCAAAAAGAGTTGGGGAAGTAGCTCAGTGGTAAAAGTGCCCCAGGGTTAAATTCCCAGTACCCCCCCCCCCCAAATAACAGTTTCTTTATGATAGACTCATTGGTTGCTTTGTGTAATGCCTCTTACAGAGTGATGGCCATTAATGTCCCAGGGCTTCTAATGCAAGATACCATTCTCTTGGCCTAATGCTGTACCTATTAAAACATATGATTGGCACCAACTGGCTCTCTTGGAAAGAGGCTCCCATAGATCCTAAGCCTGTGAGCATGTCCAGCTGTTTTGTTTTAGGTCATTGAAACAGCACTCCAGAGGCTCAACAAGGCCTCTTTACAAGATAGAAGCAAACCTGGGCATTATTCTCCCTGCAGAAGTGGATGCTTTCCCATGTTCAGTCCCTTGCTAGGGGGATGGAGATCAGCTCTGCCTCATACCTTCTGGCAATGTGGAAAACACCTTGGTATTAAGTGAGAGAATAGCAATGGGAGTTCATGGACTCTGCTAACAGTACTGCCAATCATCGTACATGATGGAGCTTAATGGACTTCATCCTTTAGTCAGGATGTCCCTAATAAAGAAAAAAACATACTTAGCCTAACTTCGGACAGCTGTCATAGCACTGGATGCTCCCATTGGCACATTTATGATAAAAAGTATTAGGACAGTACCTCAAAACTGTCCCCTTCAAGATTTAAACAACAACAACAAAAAAACCCTCCTGGGGCTGGGGTTGTGGCTCAGAGGTAGAGCGCTTGCCTAGCACATGAGAAGCTCTGGGTTCAATCCCCGGCACCACATAAAATAAAGATATTGTGTCCACCTATAACTAAAAATTAAACATTTTTTAAAAATTAAAAATAAAGGTACTGTGTCCAACTACAACTAAAAAAATAAATATTAAAAAAAACCCTCTTGGAATCATGCCTCACAGACACCAAAGTATAAAATAAAATCACAGATAACTAGGTGTGGTAGCACATGCCTGCAGTCTCATTGACTCTGGAGACTGAGGCAGAAGGATTACTAAATTTGACACCAGCCTCAGCAACTTAGACTCTGTTTCAAAATAAAGGATAAAAAGGGCTGGGGATGTAGCTCAGTGGCAAAGCACCACTAGATTTAAATATCAGTACCATGGGGGGAAAAATCACATAAAACCTAATTCCTCAATGCAAAACCTTGGTAGATCACTCCTTAATCCCATTAGTTACAGACATTACTAATAGTAAGCAAGGCACACATTTCACTTACAATACACCATGCTGCACTTCCGATAGAGGCATTCAATAGAATTTTTATGTCTTTGATAGGACCCAAATAGTTAAAGTAGAAAAAAAACTATGTCCTCAAATAACTTTCCAAATTCCAATACAATAAACTCAAAAGTTTGTGCCCAGACTTAACCTAATTATTAAATTATCCATCTCAATCCCATCTGACCTGAGGTTAGAGGCCAGATTAAGGGCATACCTACTCATGGGTCTCATTGTGCCACATATCAGGCAGCTGCTCATGTTAGGGAACCCATTTGAAGAAAAACTTGTACCAAAAAACAAACCCACACAATTCTCTTGACCACTGGTCTAATTACTAGCTTGGATGCTTCCAATGATCTATATCCAGTGCCCACACTCTCCAGGAGACCATAGTTTCAACCAATTATGATAAATGCTAGAGCCCACATCAACTGAAGTGGGTACCTGCTTGAAAGGGACACCCCAATTCCTAGATGACATCACACTGACCCAAAATCTTACCACTGGAGATGACATCACCCCAGACAACATTGCTTCAACCAAAGTCCTCGAGGTTGGAGATGATTTCACGCCATATACTAAACTGCCACTCCACTGATATCCAGGGGTTGCCTGTCCTACAACAATTTGGACACAGGACATTTTGGGTAGGTGGTATTGGGGACTGAACTCAGGGGCACTCAACCACTGAGCCACATCCCCAGCTTTATTTTATATTTTATTTAGAGACAGGGTCTCACTGAGTTGCTTAGCACTTCACTTTTGCTGAGGCTGGCTTTGAACTCGAGCTCTTCCTGTCTCGGCTTCCCTAGCCACTGGGATTACAGGTATGTGTCACCACGCTTGGTGACATAGAACATTTTTGCTTTTCTTTCTGAACTATCTGCTTAGCCCATAACCCTGTTATACTTTTTGGTTTCTGCTCAAATGTACACCAACACTTCCAATGTAGAGTTCCTAAAGGGAACTCTACATTGCTAAAAATAATCAATGTTATTGCTTTTTCTAGGAGACACTAGCCCCAAATAGACCAACCACCACCTCTGTGAAAAAAGCACCCACTCCCTGATCTTTTTTTCTATCTCTCTCTAGCTTTTCAAAATCTCTCACTTTGCATCTCTGAATATAACCACCAAACCACTCTTGCCCCTTACAGCTAACAGATCACCATGCAAGTTACATCTGCCTTTCATTAAAAGTATGAGAGCAAGGGCTGGGATTGTGGCTTAGTGGCAGAGTGCTTGCCTCACATGTGTGAAGCACTGGGTTCAATCTTCATCTTCAGCACCACATAAAAATAAATAAATGAATGTATTATGTTAAAAAAAAGTATTGAGAGCAAGCCTATAATCCCAGAGGCTCAGGAGGCTGAGGCAGGAGGATTACAAGTTCAAAGCCAGCCTCAGCAATTTAGCAAGACCTTGTCTCCAAAAAAAAACAAAAAACAAAAAAAAAGATGAGCCCTTTCCTCCAGCTGGCTGTTCTCATTAAAGGCTTTACGGAGTCAAGAATCCTCAGACCCTGAGATCTGGGTGTCTTCCAACTTACGCTCCTCAGAATCACAAGTGAAACAGCCATAGGGATGGTTAAGAACATGACCTTGGAGTTGCCCTGGCATGGGTCTGAATGCCAGCATTACTTCTTCCTTTCTTCAAGTTTAATTTGTACTTAGTTTATCCACATGGACTCACAAATTCCTATTTTATATGATGGAGTCTTTCCCTGCTCAAGGAAAGTCAGGCATGGTGGCATATATCTGTAATCCCAGTTACTGGGAGGCTGAGGCAGGAGGATTGCTAGCTCAAGGCCAGTCTTGGCAACTTAGTTAGACCTTATTACAAAACAAAAATAAAAAGGGATGGGATGCAGTTCAGTGGTAGAGCTTTTGCCAAACATATGCAGGCCCCAAGTTCAATCCCCAGTGTCTCAAAAAAATTATATATAAAAATTCAAGATTTGGCCAGGAGTCCTTTTAAACTCATTCCTGTGTATTTTTGGCATGTCCCATCACTTAGGGACCACTTCTTACTTCCCTGTAAAATCAGATGCTCCAGGCTCACTAATCTATACCTTCCTAGTCTCAACCCAGAATCAGTCATTTCTTCAAGAAGCTCTGATTCTTTTCAGGTAAGAATGTCTTCAAAAACCAAGATCTGGGAACTGAGTGCTCACCCTATTGAGGTGGATTATCTGAGTCTTCTCAGCAGACAGAGCTGGAAAATAACCCCTTCCACCCTCACACACTCAAAAACAATGATTTAATACTGAAACTTTCAATTCCAATGAACCACTTCAGGTGCTCCAGTTATCCCCCTCCATATTGTAACACTTTTCTCTGAACACTGAAAATCCAAGCTCCCTTTATCCTCGTAAAGTTACTCATTTGCTCAATCCTAGAATACCCAGAAAATAGAACTGTCATGTCCCTGTGGAAAACAAACTTTCTAATCAGGGTTCAATGCTTGTTCACATTTCTTTCTGACTTTGGACTGAGGGCAAAACTTAAACACTGGACAAAAGCTCCCTAGACTTGTTCTTTTTTCATTTTAGCATGGCTTTTAATTATCTGAAATAATTAAAAGTATCACAGTGGGGAATCCAGCCTCTAGAGGCAGAAAGTTAAGTGAGAAAATTTCCCAACCTCTCATTAGCATGAATTTGAGCAATTTACTGAATCCTTTTGGAGTGTTCTCAGCTGCTACCTGGACTAGAAATATCTACCTCACTTGGTTGCCACAAAAACTAAATCACAATGCAGAAAAAATGGGCAATTGGTGGCTAAGAAGCACTCTACTTGGTAGCTACTATTCCCCATCTAAAATGACCTCTCTCAAGGCAGGGACAAACTAACTTCACCTAGGGACCAGTGTTAAATGCTGGGAATTCAACACCAGCAGCTGGGAAACAGGCTTGTGAGTAAGTCAGAACAGAGATCAAAGGAGACAGGAAAAATATCATTGATGACTGGAGAGTTCAAGATTAGGTTCCCATATTTGGGGGGATATGGAGATAATTGAATTTTTTTAAAGTATTTTTACAGGAAGCTACAATATGCCAGACACTACAGAAGTACTGAATCTTCACAACCCTGCGAGGTAGATATCATCATCATTTCTATTCTACTTTTGAGGAAACTGAGATACACATTATGTGCAGTGATTCACCCAACCTCCTGTATCATGGTGAGGGCACAGCCAGGATTCAAACCCTGCCAGTCTGGCAACAGAACCTGTTGTTTATCACCACTTCCCTGCTACCTTTCCAATAAAAGGAGATGAGCCAGGACAGGGCAGCTATGAGGACAGAACCCAAGGTCCATCCCCAAGGAGGAAAAATGGAATTGCAAAGGTAGCAGAAGAAACATGACAAGAGAGGAGTTTCAAATTGGAATAAACCATGTTAAAAGCTTAAGGTGATAAGAACCAAGAGACTGCTGACCTTGTGCTTATCATGACCTTCAAGAGACTGAAAAGGTGAGGGAAGAAGAGTTTAAAATAAACAGAGAAGACACCAGAGAAAACCTCCAGCAGGTTTGGCAGAGAAATGGGAAGAAGAAAAAAAAAAACAGCTTGACAGCAAAGGAGGTAAAGTCAGTGAGAAAGATACTGAAGATGACAAAGAAATGAAACACCATCTGGTTTAGAGAGTTTGTTTTAAAGTTCTTGAAAACGACTGTAATACAGACAGGAGCTCCTGCTGAACAGCCTGGTTCTGCTCAGATCTGCTTATACCAACAGCAGCAAGGTGAGGAGCTAGCTCCCGAGTTACAGCATTAGGCACAGGTGGGCTGCTGGTCACAAGGAAACTTTGGTGAGTACAGGTGGACTAACACAACATTTGCCACACGAGTCTCAGCAGAACTGCCAGAGACACCGATTTAAAAGCAAAAGCCCCAGGCTCCACTTCTGGAGATTCTGATCCCTTGGTCCAGGGTGCTATAGTTTTAAACAAGTGCACCTGGTGATCAAGAGTTTGTCAGTCACAAATCCCTACCACGGAAAACGGACCGTTCAGCCTCTCCCACTCTCCACCCCAGCCCTGCACACTGTGCTTTCAATGCACGCGCAAAAGAGGCTTGCAGATTCCCGACTCAACCGACTATCACACACAACAGTCCCAAAGTGCCACGCGTTAGGAGGAAATCCCACCGCCCTGGCCTAGACCGTCAGATAATTTCTGCCAGACGCTGCAGCAGTCTGTGTGAGCAAAGCACAAGTGGACCACGCGCGTGAAGGCGGGAAAACGATTTCACCTGCAGAGACCCGGGACCGGGCTAGCCGCGCCGGAGCAGACTGCGCTGCAGGGGCGTGCGCTTCCCAGCCGCAGCGGGGTCCGCGGGCCGCCGCGGGCGTTCGGCTGAAACGCGCGCACCTGGAAGAGCCAGCGCGAAGGCCCGGGCAGCCGGCGCGGGCCCCCGAGGCACGAACAACGCGGGTGGACCGAGTCCTGAAGCCAGGACGCGTCTTCCCAGGAGAACAAGGCGAAGCCGACGGGCAGCGGGGGACCAAGGGACCGCTTCTGGGACAGATGCAAGCGCGAAGCGGGCAACACGGGGGTCCCGGGGTGCGAGGGCCGCGAGAGCCAGAGCGACTCCACGGCTGTCTCCTTACCTCAGCTGCCGCTCAAGCTCCGCGCTCAACAACACGGCTGCCGAAGCGAGGCGCGGCACGGCGGTTGCGGGGGTCGCCGCGGGCCGGAGAGCGGCAAGCGGGTAGGGGAAGAGGGGCGGGCCTGAGGAATAAAAAGTTCCGGGGAAGACGGGGCCCGCGACCTTCCGCGCTTTACGGCCCCCAGCAAGGTGGCGGGCGCGCGACCTCGGCTGCGCACGAGCGCGCAGTGACGTCACTGCTGTGGCCCCGCCCCTGCCACGTGGGCTTGTTTGGGTCTCGCGAGGCTCCGCCCCGGGTTTAGAACTTGGGCGCCGGGCCCGTGTGGGTTTCTCCAAGTGGGTTTGCGACCTCGGGACTGCAGGTCCCGCTGGAACCTGAGCGGTTCGGGGGCTCTTTTTACCTCGAAGCCTGTGTATGGTCCTGCCCGTGGGTCCGCTGCCTAGAGCAGCGTCCAGTCCAGCGCTTAGAAGGCCCAGGACTGGTGGTCGCGCCGCTGCCTCGGGCCTTCCAGGCGAGGCTCTGGCAGAGCGGACCCCAGAGCCGATGTGCTGGCCTGGCCAGGCCTCGGAGGCACGATTAGCGGACCAGAGTTCCCTGCTGACCCCACTCGTGGCTCCTTCCTCAGAGCTTGTCCGGGCTCTGAGGAAGAGCCGCTCAGTCACTTGGACTGCGTACCGCAGAATGGTGCGGTCCCCACCGACCGCACCTTGGGCCTAGCATGATCCCTAGTTCCTATTCTTTGAATTCCAGCCCTTTTCACCACACAAGCCAGTAAGAGGGGGTTTTGCTTCCCGACCGTGACCAGGCACTGTGCTGGTTCCTGGGGTGCAGCAGAGCACAAGGAAGAGGGGGCTACTGTCCTTAGAAAGTGACAATAAAGCTGCAGGGACCCGGTGTCAACCATGCCATTCCACAGGCTCCATAACTTATACCACATCACATCAACCCACCCGATGAGGACTGCTGGAGGACTCAAACTCTGCCCTCGATCTTCTGATAAATGAAAATTCTAGGCACCTGGACTCCTGTGCTTGATGAGTCATTTCATATGCTAGGGTTTAACACAACTTGTCCAAAAAAGAAGAGACGGACCCATCAGAAACACTGGGGAAGCCATTTCTGATGCCCTGAGGAACTTTTGGGAGAAAAACTTCACAAGTTTTCTTCATGAAAGTCTCTCCTTTCTTAGAAAAAGTGAATGGAAATGGCTCTTGCCATTTTCAGGCATATGATTTGGGAAAAAACATGGTGTCCTTAGGGACAGTGGATGAAGTAAGAGTAATACGTTGATTGCCTTCTGTTTACATGCAGTACGTAGTGCAGAGCTGAATAGACCATTCCTACTTCCCTCCCCCATCACCATTATTGGTTCTGCACCTTAAAATGCAAAGTCCAAATTGGTTTTCTTTCATTGTAGATGTTGAGTCTTCTATGTTCTCTCATAACCATTTTTTATGGATATATATATGGAGATTGACTCCAGGTGCACTTTACTTACATCCCCAGGGTCTTGACAGGGTCTTGACAGGGTCTTGCTAAGTAGCCTAGGGCCTTGCTAAATTGCTCAAATTGGTCTTGAACGTTTGATATCTTGCCTTAGCCTCCCATATTGCTGGGATTACAGGTGTGTGCCATGGTGCATGGATATGGATAATTTTTCTTAAGAAATTTGGATGCACCTAATATGTGTGTGTGTGTTTGGCTATTGAACCTGGGGTCTTGTGCATGCAGGAAAAGTACTATAATTCTGAGCCATGTTTCCCTCCGCTAGAGCATTTAACTTTTCTCCTTTGCAAAATATTCTGCCTTCTTGTTTTCCTGTGAAGGCCTGAGATTATAAGAGGAAGGGAAGGTATATTTTTATCATCTGTTTCAAAAGATACATGCCAGGATTTCCTTTGCACACTAAGAACTGGAGCTTGGAGCACTATTCTTGGGATGTAAAAAACAGCATTGTAATTATTGTAATTTACTGTGACTCATTCCTTGTGTTTGAAAGTGTGCAGTTTGGCTCAGGCCCCTTCTGTTCCTGCAGAGTTAGCATGTCCATTCTGAAGGCATTCTAGTCACTTCATTAAATGGAACCTGACTCTAGAGCCTTGGTGATATTGGACACACGGGATCAGAACACTTCTGCCTTTTGTGAACACAGTATCAACACTGTGTGCTATATTTCTAGCCAGCTGGGTTTCAATCAGTGTTTTCTATTATGTTATTAGGTGTGAAAATGAATAAACACTTCCTCATGCTTTGTCCAATTGTGAAATGTTCTTCCACCACATTAACTTGGTACAGTGTATTTGTAATCTCAAAGTGTAAATTATGTATATAAAACCATTTGTACCTGTGAAACCAAAGTGTAAGAAAGAATTTGAAGCCAGGCATAGTGATGCACACCTGTAATCCCAGTGGCTTGGGAGGCTGAGGCGGGAGAATCACAAGTTCAAAGCCAGCCTCAGCAACTTAGCGAGAACCTAAGCAACTTAGTGAAACCCTGTCTCTAAATAAAACATAAAAAGGGCTGGGGAAGGCTGGAGTTGTGGCTCAGCAGTAGAGCGCTCACCTAGCATGTGCGAGGCCCTTGGTTCGATCCTAAGCACCACATAAAAATAAATAAAGGTATTGTGTCCAACTACAACTAAAAAAAATATATATTTTTTAAAAAGGACTGAGGATATGGCTCAGTGGTTAAGCACCCCTGGGTTCCATCCCTGGTACCAAAAACAAAAACAAAAATAATTTAGAAACTGAGGTAAGAAGATGCAGGCATTAATTTGATACTCCTTGCAGTGCTGCTGTGAATGGGATAGGAGCACCTCCACCCTCTTTCTGTAGTTATTATTGCTGTCACTACACTTGACAACCTGCCTACTGTTGATTCACAGTACCAATGTGACATGACCCACCGCTCATGTATATCTGAGTCCATGTTTGTGTGGAAAATGCTCATACCTGTGGGAAGAGAAGCAGCGAGTGCCTTTTCACTATCCCCACCTCCACCAAGCGGCCTGCGCAATGGTTTCATTAATGAGGTTCTTGGCATAAAGTTAGTTAGAAGAGATCGAAATAAAACACACAGACTCAGTTACCTTATTTCTATTGCCAGGTCCGAGACGGCTCCCCTCTCTGGCTCCGACCTCTAACCGCCCAGCAGGGCAGCAAGGATTACTCAGGGCTAGCAGGAGAGAGAGAGAGTGAACACGCCAGGGAGTAGCCTTTTATTGGGGAACAAGAAATTCAGGGGATAATTCCATCCAATGAAGGTTGAGGGGGGACTGCACTCCAAGGTCAGGGTCAGTGATTGGGCCCCCGGGGTCAGTGGTCAGTCACACCCCCACACGGAGGGGTTCTCTCATCAGGAAAGGGCTGGGAAAATTCCGACACAGCCAGAAGCCTCAGACCCTTAACGGGAGCCGCCCAGTCACGTGTCAGGATGGCTTCCCACACCCACCTTCCCTGCCGCAACCACAGTGCACTTGTAGCTGCCCTGCTGGGTGTCATGCAGCTATTAGAGTCTGGATCAAGCAAAATGATAGTACAGTGTGCTTCCTGGCCAGGCTGTGTGCCAGAACTAAGCCCAAGGCTTGTAAGTGACAGTGTCCCTACTTCACCAAGGAAAGTGAGGCTTAGAAAAGTATATTCTCAATGTACTTTTGAGAAATAATGACCCAGGCTTAGTGACTCATGCCTATAATACCAGTGACTTAGGAGGCTGAAGCAGGAGGATTCCAAGTTCAAGGCCAGCCTCAGTAACCAAGCTGGACCTTAAGCAACTAAGGACACCCTAACTCAAAATAAAAAAAATAAAAAGAACTGAGATGTAGCTCAGTAGTAAAGTGCTCCTGCATTCAATCCCCAGTTACAAGAAAAATGGAAAAAATGATGAAAAGCAGGACTCACCTGCAAGTTTTTATTTTTATTTTTTGGTACTGGAGATTGAACCCAGGAGTGCTTAACCACTGAGCCGCATTCCCAGCCCTTTTTCTTTTTCCTTTTTTTTTTTTTTTGAGACAGGAACTCACGAAATTGCTAGGCTGGCCTCAAACTTGTAATCCTCCTGCCTCAGCCTTCTGAGTTACTGGGATTACAGGTGAGCCATGCCCAGCTCCTGTAAGTGTTTTAACATGTGAAAGAGTGACCTATTCAAGTAAGAGCTAAATATCATGGTACAGACCAAGGATGCTGCCTTAGAATTGTCTGAGGAATCTAAAACAATATCCTTTGAGTGAATTGGAATCAATAAGACTGAAGAACAAAATATTTCTTTCTTTCTTTTTTCTTTTTTTGGTATCAGGAATTAAACACAGGGGCATTTAACCACTAAGCCACATTCCCAGCCTTTTTAAAAATTTTCTATTTTAAGACAGTCTTGCTGAGTAGCTCAGGACCTCACTAAATTGCTGAGGCTGGCTTTGAACTTAAGATACTCCTGCTTCAGTCTCCTGAGCTGCTGGGATTATAGGCATGTGCCACTGCACTTGGCCTATTTAATTTTTTTAATATTTATTTTTTAGTTGTAATTGGACACAACACCTTTATTTCACTTATTATTTTTTTATGTGGTGCTGAGGATCGAACCCAGGGTCTTGCACGTGCGAGGTGAGCGCTCTACTGCTGAGCCACAACCCCAGCCCCTGGCCTATTTAATTTTTATGACAATCCTAGAAGATAGCTTTGGGCAGACAATGTAGTCTCAGATGCAGCTTGACCCTCCTGGGCCACACAGCTAGTAAGGAAGAACTGAGAACAGAATTCTCAAAAGTCGTACAGGCCAAGGCTGCCCAGCTGAATCATGATCATTGCATTATACCGTAAGTCAGATGACCAGGAGGGAATCTGAGGCTGGAGTGACCCAATGACTGGAAACAGAGTGGCAAAAAAGAGCTGATGATGTAACAGGAAACAGCCGACTGGCCTGGATGATTGGATATTGTCTTCAGTTTCTCATTCCCTCTGCAGGTGACCTTGCAGTGCATGACACGGTGAAGCATATTTCCAGTCGTGCTGACAGTTGGTAGCATGGCTTCCGCCATCCACGTGACCATTTTCCTTAAGGTGGGCAGAAGCCACAGTGGGTGAGTCTGCAGGCACTGTGCATTTTCATAACTCTTGCCAGTCATCTCAAAAACATTCCGAGTAGCCACTGAATCAGAGGTTGAGAGCTGCATGAAACAGACCTGCACTCTGCCTAGAGCCAACCTGAT